ATAATTTCTAGTTTTGATATTATCGCTTATTGTTCAAAGCCTGAAGAAATTGAATATGAAAATACGGATGAATCCTAAACTTTAAAGTCTCTCATGATAAGATTATCAATAGTTAATGAATATGCTGAATCAGAAATAAATTAAAATTATTTCAATTATTCAGTTGAATTAGTTGTAGTAAATACACAATCTTTAATTATTAGATTCAATTTCAATTGGATATTCTGCAAAATAATAAAAGATTATTTAGAATCATAATTAATTTGAATTGCAGTTTGAAATTAAATATTTTCAAATGAGACAGATGCAAAGTTGCTTATTTATAGGGTTTTATCTATTATGATAGTGGTAGGATATTAATCTCCAATAAGCTTTAATTTTACTTACTAAATGGAAAACACATTCTCTTGAATTTTATTTTATAACTTAGAATCAGATTATATGAAACAGGATGGTGCATTACCTTAGATGAATTTAAATTAGTATTCTACTACTCTTACTACCTTTTCATTAAAATAAGTATATAAACTTGAGGTTTCGACAACCTTCAAATAGCCAGTTTTAAAAAGTTCATCAATATATATATTGTTTTACAGAAAAACCTATTAATCTGCACTTTGTTATAAATCTTAATCGTATTAACTTTAATGACAATAAACATTTTATTTGAGAATAGCTCTATGATAGCATTTACCATATTTTTCACAAAATGAGATGGTTTAGATAGTTTAATCGTTGTAAAATTGCCCCTCAGTTGAATCTTATTGAAATCTTTCATAACAAATTCTTGTATATTTAATATTGGTCTGCGTTGTAACGAAATGGGGATTAATACTTTGAATTTCTTCTGTTGACCTTTCTAAACAAGCAGCACAATTGTTTGGGCAAGTTAGACAAATGCCTTTAGAGTTTTAGCTCTTTAAGAATCCATAAGGAGTTTCTAAACATTATGTGCATGTAGAAACCCCATTGATTATGCTACAATCAGTGCAATCTTCATTACAATCCTTAATGCAAGTGAATTCATTAAGAACATAACCTTTAGGACATGATGTACAGATTAATTCGAATTCTGACTCAGATGTCTGTGTTGCATATTATTCAAAAGGATGAGAGTCGTCTGAATTCAAAACATATTTGTAGTAGGCTTTAATTCCCCATTTCCAATAATCTTGATAATCTTTACTTTATTGAATACAGGTTTAACAACTGGAATCACATTGATTGCATTTTCCAGTTAAAATGCTTGAATAGTATCCATCCGCACACACAATACAAAATGTGTTGGCCAAGAGATAATTAGAGATACACTACTAACAATTTGAGATTGTTGAGCAATAAGTGGTTTGGGTTGAAGTAGCGCTGGTTGAACTGATTAAACAATGATTTGTGCCTTGAGAATCTGTAATTAGACCAAAAGTGCATGAATCAGTGACTACCTAAGTATCCTTACCATTCTAATCACCAGGGGGAACAGGATCAATTTCATTAGAACCATTGGAACCATTTCCAGAATCTTAAGTTACTGCTTCACATTATATAGTAATCTAATTGAAGTATAAGTTTTTCTGACAGAGTGCACAACCAATGAATAATTAGGATTGAGCCCTGTCAACAACAGATGCACTAATATCAAGTTTTGTATATATTACTCCCTATTTTATAAAATAATGATAACAAATTTAACAATTAGTAATTGTGCATATTTCACAGTTCTTACCATCAAATGACAAGAAATATAAAGTTGGATTATCACAATAATTACAATAACCTTGTGAATTACAACTAGCACAATGCTATCCACAAGATTAACATGATCCTAATGATGTCAAATATGTTCCAGTTTTACAAGAGGTACATTAAGTAATTTGATTAGAGAATGTACAACTAGAACAGCCAACACATTACTAACATAGATAATCATCTGTCAAAGCATAATTAGAAAAACAATTCAAACAAATCCCTTTCTTTACACAAGTTTCACAACCTTCCAAACAAGCACTGCATTATTATTTCGAATCCAAAAAAAATCCCTTCTTACATGTGCCAGCTTATAAAAATCCTTACTATAAAGTCAACTCATAGTAACCATCTAAATTTAGATTAGCAGTGTAAAATTCAATTTCCCTATTCTATCTTTCAGTGGTGAAATACGCATTTTCATCATCTTACGAATAAGTTTTGGTGTCCTCTGAACATGATAAATTCTAAGAAAAACTTGTTGGATCAAAGAAACAGTTGGAACATAAAATCTGAAATCTTGAACTATAGAAGGAATAACCAGGACTTATCTATTAATTATAAATACCATTAGATGCAGTTATCTTTATAAAAAAAGTAACCGAAAAGGCATTTTTGAGCGTTAACATCACAACTATCAAATCCTCTTTTGTTACAAACAACTTCCACTTCATCTTCTTCCAGTTACGGGAATTTAACAACTACTGGCTAGCATATTGGATCATTTTCAATATCAACATATTTGTTTTTGCATGTACAAGTCTTCTAAGTTATTGACTGCACTCTAAAACTGTCAGTTGGACATGATAAACAATTAGATATTCCAGGACCATCACATGTTTAACAAGAATAATGGCACTTAGGATTTAAAGTTATTTATGGTGTTGTACAATAGGTAGTCAAAGTCAAATCACTTAATTATCCAAGCAGATAAGTTTTGATAAAATTGTCACCCCCCACAAAATAATATAGGATGGTTCCAGTAAAATGATTTATTTTTACAGTCCATTTATATTGCAACACATAATTTAAAGATGGAAAAAATAAAGAAAATAAAGGTTATCCATTATTATTATTTGTCCCGATTTCATATTAGATGTAATGCCAACTAATTAAAAGATTTTAGTATTATATTCCAGTTACTGTTAAGATATCAGTGCCCGAACTCTATTATTTTGATTCCACTGGAAAAGTGTATGTGTACGTTGTTAATGAAAACCCATTTAAAGCTGGTGTCATGCTTTAATAATACTTCAAATAGAGTTCCTTATCTCCTATTGTCATGTCATCATTGTAATTATTATTGATTGTTACTCTGAAAATAACTGTTTCAAGATAATTATCATCAAACAAAAAATCCATTTTAACCCAACCCTAGATAACATATTTTTGTTATTCTAATTGACTTGTACTATTATTTGTAAATCCATTCCCAGTGAACAATTAGTTAAACCCTGACATCTTATACTATTTTATCACACAAGATTGGATTATCTAACAAGTTGATAAAAATGAATTCAAATCCAAAAATATGTTAAGTTGCTCTTTGCTGAATAATGATGATATTCTCCCTTTAAATTAAGACAAGCTTAAGTTCTCTCCCAATTAATTTTTTATTTCCTATACACCACCAATTATATGTCTAACTTATTTTACAAGAGAAGGGATATCTTATAATTATTTAGTTAGTGTTGAGGTTGTTTATTCTGCTTGATAAAAACCTAATGTTGTTTATTTTTACAAAAGATCGTAATAAACATAAAACAAAATCCATCTTCCCTCATATTCTCCAAATTCAAAACTGAAAGAAACAGTCCCTGTTGTTGATTGAAATGAATAAAATATATTATGCATTATTGTGTTAGATGCCGCCGAAATTGTAATATAAACAGTTAACATATTGAATTTTGTATCCTTCTGCTATTGCAGATATATAAAAGATCCTGAATCCCCAGTTGCTTTGAATGTCATACCTCCTGATGTTGAGCCTTAAGTCGCTAATTAATCGAATAAAAATCATACTAATCTAAGAAATAGGCACAAAAGGCTAATACTTTATCCATACACCATATCCAATATTAGATGCACCTTATAGCACCAAATTATCTAAACTTATATCTATTTATTATTGCGGATCAGTTAAACTCAATAAACTAGATCCTGAATTTATGTATCCGCAATCAGATAAACATTATCTGTTATAAGAATGAATATTACTTTAGCAAACCAAAAATAATGAACATAAAGAGATTAGTAGCTTTTTGATTCATTTTAAACTAATTTATTTATTTATATAGTTAATTATAAAATTACTTCTAAGACATAATATTTTCTTTCTGATTAAATTTATGTGAAATGCATTAATTGATAAACAAAACGGTTTGAATATTTTCCCAACTTATGAATTTCTTTGGAATTACATTTATCATAAAATATCAAAAATGAGATGAGTTCATTGCTGAATAAATTGATTACAAAAAAGAGAGATTTTATTTTTCAAGTTCTGATATCATACGAAGTTTTATATAATTGAGTTATTAGAAAACTGATTTCATTCTAAAATTCATCTCTTTAATAAAATTAATTAGGAATAATACTAAAAGCAGAGTAATTTAAAAATTAAAGGATAGCAAGAAACAAATAATAGGCAAGTTATTGATGCAATTGTTTATTGGCTACTTCTTAGAATAAATATAAATTCTAATTTCAAAAACCCTTTAAATATATTATATTTGGACTTAGGAGTGAAATATTTAGATTATTTTCAAATGTAGATGAATATTTATTTGTCATTCAAATTGACCAAAAATAATTTAATTCATTTTTATATAATTTTTTAGGGTTAAAAGCTAAGATTTCTATCAAGGATTAATTGTTTTATTATGAATCAAAATTCAGCTCGAACACATATTAAATTAATTATTAATTGATTGTTATATCCTAGCATTGTTAAAGAATCTTATATAAAATTAAGAGTAAGCCTCTATAACTTTTTTAAAATACTAAGTGAAATACTAGTAATTTAATACTGCTTAACCAGGAGATCCTGCTATTATTATTAATTTTGATTTCAATGAAAAAATTACTATATATTTTGATTAATTTAGGTATGATAATTACTCGAGCATAATATTATCCAAATTAAATCTGTTGATTTCATAATAATACTTATATAATTTATTAAATCATGTAATTTATAATCTATATCCTAATTTAATTATAAGTTTAAATCTTTTTATAGTTGAAAAATATAAAATGGAATGCATAATTTTATTTATATAAATATGGAAACAGAAACAAAGTTCAAATTTCTACTAATCGGACACTCACCTGTTGGAAAATCAGCTTTATTATTCAAATTTTGTGATAACGAATTTCCAGAAAAACATAACTCAACTATTGGAGTAGATTTTAAAACAAAGTCTTTAGAATTCAACAATAAAGCCTTCAAGTTACAGGTAAACATTATATCTTAAATGAGATTTGGGATACTTCAGGATAAGAGCAATATATGAGCCTCCTGAAAAATTATTTCACAGGATCTCATGGAGTTTTAATTGTTTATGATATTACAAATAGGCAAAGTTTTACCGAAATATCTAAATGGATAGAATGTATATTACTTCATACTATTAGGATAGTGACGAAAAATCCAAACACAAATGTAGCTAAAATTTTAGTTGGGAACAAATCTGATTTGAATGGGGCAAGAGAAGTAACTTCAGAAGAAGGCTAATAATTGGCAAACACTTAAGGTATGCTATTTATAGGTATATTTGTTAAATTTAAATAGAAACATCTGCAAAGGAAGGATTTAATGTTGAGCATGCTTTTCTAAATTTAATAGAGGAAGCCTAAGCTCGTCTTGAAAAATAGAAGAAAGCTGAAGAAACACAAATTCAATGATATAATAAAACAAACAATAACAATTACAATTTATAATAACTCTAAAATACCTAACTTTATTTAGACAATCATATTTGTTATTAAATCTTCAAATTTTGAATTATAATATTATAAAATGAGTTAATTTTAATTGAAAATTATGTTTACAAATTTAAAATCAATCAAGATGATAATCAAAAAAAATCTTTAGTAGGGTTTGCCATTAAACAATTATTAGAATAGATTCTATAAAATAATGATATTTTCATAAGAATGATTTTAAATATAAATTTATGTAAAATCAAAATATCTCCATCAAGATGGGATTTAATTAAAATTCAATATTAAGAATATATTAATCCAACAGGTTTGTCTAATTACTTTCTATGTTTTATTGTATCTAAATATATGATAAAGAATATTTGAAAAGAGGATATGTTTTATACGAAAATAATTAGCAGTAAATAAAATAATTTTTTTTATTAGTTCTACAATTACTTACAAATTAATCAATAACTCTCATTATATTGAATTATGATTACAGTTGATATACATTATTAGTCTTTTTAAAATTAAATATTTATATTTATAATTTATTCTGGATTTGTTAATAAATAAATATTATCAATTTATATTAATTTAAAATAAAAATGAGCAGGAAATAAACTCGTCCTCTTTTAATATTGAAATCTGAAAATGACGATTTTCCTTTTGACATCAAAGATGTGAATTTAAACAATATTAAACAAATCGATTATTTTAGAATGTACAACTCTTTAAAAATGGTGCTGGAAAAGCTAATAGAAGAACAAGTAATAGTATTAAACTAATATAGCCATTACAATAAAAATTACAAACCAATATAGATTTTGCATTCCAAGTCTTTTTGCAAAAGGATTAAACATCAACCTAATAACAAAAAGCTGGAAAAAGAAATCAATCATAGCCTTTTTTAAAAAAAGAAATGTAATAGCTAATAGAAATATTGTCTTAAATGGGATTTTCTGATAAATAAATATAGGAAAGGCTGTAATTGAATCCTGGGCAAACATTTAATGGTATCGGCTAGCATTCAGAAATTCAGGAGGGTGATTAATAATCAGGAAAAAAATAAACTAAAGAAAAGTAAAAACAAGGATAAGTTATTGACAAACAGAAACTATATTACGAGCAATAATTCCATTCTAATGATGAGCCTGAATAAAACTGAAGGAATGAAATATATTTTTTTAATTTTCCTCGTATATTAATAGTCGACATATATATAATATTATATTTAAACCTATATAAGAAAACGATATATTTTCTGAGCTTAAGTAGCTAATCTTTGAATGACTTTAGAATTACTTATATACTTTGAAATGCATAGTCTTGGTATATTTTGAAGGTTTCGAAGAGAAATATTAAGATTATCAATTAAAATAAAAGAAAGATGATAATAAGTAGGTTGTATTCAGAATGTAATGGACTAATTAATTCAAACTGAACTAAAATTAATGAATCTTATTTAAAATGAATGCAATAATTATATTAATAGAAAATAGAAAATAGAGATTAATACCTTTGTCACTTTCCATTAGCTTTATTAAAATTACTAATTATTAATTGGATATTGAGAAGAACTGATAATGGAGTTCTTTAGCAAGCTTATTACATAAAGATAAAAAGTTGTATAATAGATAGAAGCTCTCTTATTATTTGAGAATTATAATATTTGACGAATAGCCCTCATATTTAATTTGGTTAAACAGTTAGGATGCTTGATTATTGATATTTTTGTGTATTTCTAACCCAACCTTTTCTAGATTTAATTTTCTTCATTATTCAATGTTCTCTGCAGCTATAGGATAGTATTTTCTATTTAGTACTGAATATATGAATATAGTAATTAGTATAATACATATATTTATTTATTAAAATAATGGGATTCGGCACTAATCCACTTTAGAATTAGAATCATGAAGATAAGAGTCAATATGCAATCACTGGAAGACCTTAATAGAATGATGTTCATTCAATTTATGTAAAAGGATCTTAACCTTGGTGGAGAAGATGGTGGGCTACTCGTGACATGTTTTAAGAGCATCATTGGGAAGTTCTGTATATAATTATATATTATACATTGTTAGCACATGTGCAAAGTATGCTTATAAAGGGGCTCTTACTGCCATATTATTTGGAGCTACATACTAATTCAAGCAATTATCAGTGAATGCATTGGCAATCAATAAAGGAAGGGTCTTTGGAAGCAAAAATGGATTCACAGGTCCAGCTTTCATTGCCCTTCGATAAGCATCTAGACACGGAGCTCTTGGTGCTTTCTTTGGAGTTACTTACTTTTTCTGGTTTTATTAACTTGTTTGTTCAAGAGGTCATGAACATACACTTAATAGATATGTTTTTGGTCATGCAGCTTATGGAGCAGCATTGGCAGCATTTTTCAGCATCAGAAGATATGGACCAGGAGCTTTGTTGGGAGGACTAATTGGTAAGGAATATCATAATAGTGTAGGTTGGATTTATTACAATACAGCTCATGGCAATTTGTAGATTGGAAATAAGGCCGAACAGGGAATCAATTTTGAATTCAATGGATTAACACCTGAACAAAGAGAAGCTATAAGACAAAGAGATTTGATTAGTCATTTGAGTAGAACACCAGAATTCAAATTAAATTTATTCAATAAAGTATGAAAATTACAACATATAATATAAAATTTAATATCATATCAATATGCAAAAATAAATACAGCTCAAGATAATTAAAAATCTATTTTGTATTGGTTCATAAGCACATTCAAACTTTATTTTTAATTAATTATGAGCTTATTAAAGACTCTAATTAAGAAAAAGGAAGTGTTTTTTGTTAGAAATGGACTATTTAAACGATTATCTCTAATAGTAAGAAAGGTGAAAAATTAGAAATTAATATAATTTGCACATCATCACTGAGAGAAGAAATACAAATCAGAGTAAAAATAGCATAAATAAGATGGAACAGAAGAAAATATGAATAGAACAGTTTATCTTGTAATTTAAAGAAGATAGTGCAAATCAAATTAAAATAATATTAGCAAATTAATTCTAATTAAGCCTAATTATTGTATCCAAAATAATTAAATGAAAATCATGGAAAATCAGATTAGACCTTATAATTATATAATAATAATATGACAATTTTGCAGACTTAAACTTGATTTTACAACCCAAGTATTCCCTTCCTTAAAAATAAGGGTATAATGAGTCCTAAAGAGTTTGATAAGAAAGACATTATCTAACTAAAATAAGCATTTTATAAGTTAGTTATAATAAAGTGAAGTTAAAATGTTTAATCTTGTGATGTTAATATGAATATTAGCTAAATCAAACAAATTTTGATGTATTGGTCTTTTTTGATTATCCCAAGTATTTGCTGGCATTTTAAGTACTTTAATTTTAACTGACACCCGCTGATGCTTTATTGATTTACACTAACAGTGAAGGATTCTTCAATTTTATCAAAGATGCTATGTCATTTAATCTAAAGCATTTACATTTCTACATACCTATTTTAAACGAATTGCAACTTTGCCTTCATTAAATTATATCTAAATGAAACATTCTATCTGATAGCCTCTTCAGAAGCAGAACTGAATTCTAAGGACAACATTTCCATAAATTTGTATTCTAAATTTTCAATAAAATCAAGTCTTCCTGCACCATCCTATTGCATGAACAATACGCAAAAGAAACTGAATCAAAATAAATGTTTACTGATTAGGTTCTTTATGACAAGCATTTAACAGCTTGATCAACATTTATAAAAATTGAGGATATTCGATTGTTAATTTTTATTCTTCTCTTATGCTTTTATAAGTCTCTTTATTTATTCTATTTTCAATTTAAATAATACATTGTAATGTAATTGAAAAACAAATCTGTTTCGCTTGTTAATTCAATTTTCAAATTCTCAAATGCTTATTACTCCCCCTATATTTAATAACAATAAAGTAAACTTAAACTAAAATTTTCACTCTAACCTATTCTAATGTACCAATTTCTTGTGGTCCTGTATTTGCATCTTGAACCCTATTTATATTATTATTGATTCACATCTACCTTGTTTCTATGTGAATTTCTCTATCAAATTGGATTTTAAAACCTCCTTCTAAACTTGGATCAATGTCCTCCAAAGCTCCCAAATCTAATTGTGAATCGTCCATTTTATTTTTTATTTTTATTATATCAAATAAAACTTAATGTTAGAGAAATTATACAATATATTAATGATACCTATACTATCATAAGCTTATAGCTGAAGCTTTTTAATTTTCATACTAAAACAGTCATAATTTATTGAAAATTCTTAAAGATAATATATCAAAGGAATAATTGTAATATTTAATGTAAATTTATCGCTAGAAGAGGGATTTCTATGATTAATTTGTAATTCAAAGGAAGAGGATTATGAATAATATATTTGTATTAATGACATTCTTAAATTTGTCATTCGAGGATGACTATCCATTCATAATATAATCAAATCTTATTAACAAGGATTATTTATTAATGAAAAAATTCCTGTATATTTAGATCTATTGCAAGTATCTGTAAGAAGGATTGAGTGTTGCTCATTTTTTATGCGAGATTGCAGTATTAAGACAAATTTGTGGGTTGATTTTATATATATTTTAAATATTCAGGATTAATTTGGTTATTAATTCTAAATAATATTTTACTTGATTTTTGTGTAAAGTTTGTTGTTTTTCGGATTGTAAAAAGAATATTTATTCAAAATTATCAATAATTAACTAAATGTAATTTTAAGTTCTAATTAATTAAAAATAATTATCTCAAGACCTTAACTTTTATTTAGAACTCAAATATTCAAGATCTATCTTTGATTATGACAAGAAGAATTGTACTCTTAATTTACAAATTAATCATAGACAATTTTCTTTTATTAAGTATGAATAATTTCTTAATAACCTTGATTATAATATAAAAAATAACAGAAATCAGCTTCCTAAATTTTAAGATGACTTAAGAGTAAGTAATGTTAAAACTTAATTCTTAAATATAAATTCATTTATTTATACAAATTTAAGAATTTAAAGAATATTTTTCCGTAGAAATAGTAACTAGGAATAAATTTATTGTATTTCATTAGTCTTGAAAATAATTCTAAATTTCTATGGAAATTATATATACTGAATATTAATTTTTTTAGGATTAAATTTCATTATATTACAAAAGATTAGAATTTAATATATATACAAGTAATGTTTTGGATATTAATTATAAAATAAGAATTTGATTATATATAAGGCTAAGAATGATTATTAGTAATTAATTAGAAATTAAAATCAAATCAATGAATAGAGTATTTGTGTATAGCATCTAGCATTTGCAACTAAAAGGATTAATTCTAGATCACAGTTTGCTTACCTATAGTTTAAGATGTCACTTATGTTCTATTGTTAGATTACATGAATATCATCAATTTTTTTATATCCCAATTAATGTTAGGTATATTGATAGATTTTAATACGGTCTTGAATAGTGAATAGAGGAAGGTCCTTAAGGATTTTGATTCTTTTATTGAGTTTATGTGCCAATTTTGGGAAATAATCTCTAATTTAAGAAAATCCATTAATATTCCAAGAGAAATCTTCCGCCTATTCTTCAAAGTGGGGTTCAAGAGGCGAGAGTTACAATGGTAAATACTCTTCCCCTAATTGGATGGCAATAGTTTGCTCGCATTGCATTAGACTAAAGAGTGTGTATATAAGAATGAGTTATTATCTATTGAAATAATGAGTAAGATCATCTGGTTTTTACATTTGTTCCAATTTTTAAAGAGATAGCTGTAATTTCTTGTATTTCTCAGAGGTATCGTCGTAATCTTTCCATAATCTATTCAAAGTAGTGCACTATTTGGTAGCACAAGAACAAACAAAATTTAAAGTATTGTAATCTATATACATTTGATTGATGGATTTCTTGAATATAGAGACAGATGCTTTATAATACTTTGCATAGGTCACTAGTTTGGATTAGTAGTCTAGGATGCTTCGATTAAACAACCTATACGAGTCAGATATGAGTTTTTATAGGGCTTTGTTTGAAACGGGCTATTTGAAATCAATGAATGTGTTATTGGAGTGAAGAGGGTGGAGAACTTTGTATAATTTATGAGTTTTCTCTTGATCTATTTGGAATATGTCTTATAAATCCAAATAGGGAGCCTCTTCAGAAATTTTCTACATCGTCCATAATACGTAATCCTTGAGTTAAGGATATGAAACTATGAAATTTTAGAATTCCATTTTCAGATCCAAACTAAATTGGAGACGTTCATCATAGTCTTCTGGCCATATATATGGTACCATATCTTAAATAGTTTATTCATTAATCATAAAAAAAAGATTGTAATATATTATTAAAAATATAATAGTTATATTGGATATTTTTGCAAGGAAAGCATGAGTATCTAAATATGTTGGTCATATATACTTGTAAATTGTATTAAACTTGGTTATAAATACAAATATTAATATAATATTACACATATAGGATAGAAGTAGATGAATGTAAATTACAATGATAAATATCATTTCTTGAGTAATCACAAATTCCATATCAAAATGAAACCACCCTCATTTGTAGCTAAGAATTACAAGGGATAACGCTTGATATTTAAACATGGAGATGAATGAAAATGATTTTCAAGAGTGTATAGACATTTTCCACTTTTTATATCCCAAATTTTGATTGTATTATCCCAACTGGCCGTTGCGAGTAATTCCGTATTGTTTAAGAGGCCTAGTGTCCATATTGGTTCTTCATGAGACTAAAATTGTTTGATCAACTTGTAATTATGCTCTGTGCTCCAGAATTTAATAATTTTATCATAGCCAGTAGATATGAGTAATTTCCCATCAAGGGAATATTCAACACAATATCCTCCATATTCAGCATCATGAGCCATCCATTATTTTAAGATCTTGCCTTCGAACCACACAATCAAAGTCTTGTCCTTACCTGTAGATGCAACGTGTTTGTTGTTGATAGCTAAACCATACACACTATCCCAGTGTCCTATATACTCTTTATAATTCTTGACTCCATTCTTCTTCAACTTCCAGACTCTAAGTTTGTAATCGTCACTGGCAGTGTACAGACATTTTGAGACGAACTATAATCTATTGATTTAGTTAAGATGTTAGGCTTTTAAGATGATTGGACTTTGTTCGAAGTCATTACAATTCCAAACATAGATTTCGTATGGACATGAACCAGCTGCTGCTAATCTAAGTCCATCTGATGAGAATTTAACAGCAAAGATTTCTAGGAATTTAGTTTTGAAGGTTTTCACTATGATTTCTGAGATTGGATCTATTAAGAGGAGGGTATCGGGATGGCCTCCAACTGCGATTAGAGTGCCATCTTGTTTGATATCAAGAGAATAAATATGAACTAGTCCTGGACATTTGATTTTCTGAGGATGATTGTTGAAAATTTGAAGTGCTTCAGTGGAGTTAGTATTAAATGTAATTTAATCAAATAGTACTTTTTGTACAAGATCAAACCTTTTGATTTATACTAATGATTCATCTGAAAGATTCACATAATCCTTGAATGTAAAAACAGAAATATCCGAAGTTAAAAAATAAGATTTCAACAACAGCTATTTCACTCCTTTTGTTAAAATTTGTATAGGCTTTGTGGAGACGATATTCTGATGCTGTAGTAATTGCTAAGCAAAATCATTCAGATCTATAGGAGGCTTGAGATGATCTTGATGCAATTTCTCCAATTCCTATTCAATAAGCATTTTGAATTGCGCTTGCAATTTCTTGACATGAGATTTGATTGTCTTGATGCTGTGTTAAAGTATTTCATTAAGCTTGATGATATGCAACTTGAATTATGCTAAATGCTCTTGGTGTTGCTGATACGCCAATCGTTCAGCTTCAATCAAATCAATTACGCGATGTCCTTAATGCAACTTATTATAACAATCTGTACACATTGCTCTGAATTACAGAGTGCATTGGCTGTCCACACACAAATATTTTATGCACATATCAAATTCTTGATGCTCCTGCAAGTAGCACATTTTGCTCCTGCCTAATTGTTTTAATTGCATTAATTAAATTGAATCTCTTCAGAGAATTCTTTACACAAATCCTATGTATCGAATCCAAGAATTCCATTTCTAAATCCCATCCTATCCAGCAAGGTATTCCAAATGTGTTGAGTTATTATGACTAACACTTAAATCCCATCAAGTACTACTTTTTGGGATTTAATCAATACACTCTGTCCCATATTCATACAAACCAATAGGTTTTAGAATCTCTAAATGAGTACCAATAACAACAGTTTCTACCTCCAATTTCGATCCAGAATTGCTCAAAACTTCAATTTGATCTAAATCAACAATCCATAAAAATAATTTCCAATCTCATACTCTACTTGAATCTCAGGGTAATAATATTGTTAAATTATTAATCTATATTGGTGTATCTATGAGTATATATGTTATTTTAAAATGTAATATTATTAAACAGTAATGAATAATAAAAATTATAATATTATTCAATCGTTGCTAACATCATAGGTTGGATCATGTCTAAAAATGAGAAAATATTTGGAAAGAAGAGATGTTTAAATGATATTATAATTGATTATATTTTAATAACTACTCCTCATTCTTTTGTAAATCAATACTTTTATGCAGATATGAAAATAATAATATTAGAACAGAATTATATTGATTAATATATCCTTAATTATGTTAACAATAGTCTTAATCTTTCTGTTTTATTCTAAAGTGAAATCTTTAGTTCAATTTAATTTTAATTGTAATTTGATTTTGCATAAAATGTGTAATTGTAAATTATACAATGTCTAAATTTACAAATAAATTCATCCTAATCTGCTTTCTCTTAATTTAATGCAAGCTTTCTAGTTGTGTTAATTCATAAATTTAAGAGGTCATCAAAAATAAGTTGATATTGTCTCAATTCTATAATATTTTTTTGGATAGAAGCTCTATTAAAGAGTATTTTATTGCCATAATTTCTTAAGTGTTTGTAAATTTGTAATCATAAATTCAATAATAGTAATTAAATTGAAAAAAATAGCTGTAAAACCTAATTATTTAAATTATAAAGATTTTATAATAAACATAATTTTCTTTGTAAAGTCAGATATTTTAAAAAGTAATTAAAAAATCATATTACGATTGATTGTTTTATTATATCATTGTTTTTGGGATTCTTTCTCTTTTTCCTCTTTTTCATGACGAGCATAAACTTCAGCCAGCAAAGTCTGAAATGCATGCTCAACATTAAATCCTTCCTTTGCAGATGTTTCTATTTAAATTTAACAATGATACCTATATATTGCACACCTAAAGTGTTTGCCAATTATTAACCTTCTTCTGGAGTGACTTCTCTTGCCCCATTCAAATCAGATTTATTCCCAATCAATATTTTAGGCACATCTGGATTTGTGTCTATTTTAAGTTCTATAATAATAGGATAATCTAATTTACAATCAACCCACTTTGCTACTTCTTCAAAGCTTTGCTTATTAGTAACATCATAAACAATGAAAAATCCGTGAGCTCCTTTGTAATAACTTGAGACTATGGTCATAAATCTCTCTTATCCTGCAGTATCCCAAATCTAATTTTAGATAACATATATACCTACAACTTTATGGCTTTACCATTAAATTCTAATTACTTTAACTTAAAATCGACTCCAATTGTTGGGAAAAAATCTTCTTTAAATTCATCATTGCAATATCTGAGTATTAACGATGACTTCCCAACAGAGCTCCCAACGAATAATAATTTCAAAACAATTTCCTGGTCAGCTTACATATTAATTTTATTATAATTATACAATCCATTTATGGATAATTATAATTATAAAGGAGGAAAAGATTTAAACTTTTAATTAAGTTATTTTATAGATTGTAAAATTACAGGATTTTATAAATAATATAAGTATTATTAAATCAACCTTGTGTAATAATATGTGAAAAACAATTAACAAACTTAACTTTATATCGAAAATATCTATAATAATTTTTACAAAATAGTAATTGTGTATTTTAATCTTTTGATTTTTCTAAAATTTATTAATCTGACAAATCTAAGGACTCTTCAAAAGAATTTGCATAATAATTCAGAGAATAATTAAAGTAAGAATAATCGCAAAGAACACTCCATCGATGAGTCAACCTCCCTCGTATAATATAATGTGATATTATTATTGATTATTATTTGATGTAAATTTTTCATCATTTAATTTCATTTTATCTTTTTTCTACTAATCTTTCGACTTCAGATAAGAGGACTAATTCTTATCTTCTAGCAGCTGAGGCATTATCGTATTCACTGTTGAAGGTGGTGCAAAGAGCAGTGGCATCATCCAACAATTTTTGGTTTCTTTACTTCTTGTTGCTAGCAGCTTAGGAGATGGCAGTTTAGGTGGCAACACATCCATTCAAATCGGTGATTTAATCTTCAAGTCTGGTCTTGGATTTCTCTAATCTGACGATGTTCTTGTCAATTCTTTCCTTTTAGTTGTTGTATAAGACAATAGCTTAATTGTTTTCAGCTGTGAATTGATTGTATGCATCTTCGATGTTGTTTCTAAATATATTGATGGATAGATTACCTTAAGGTTTACAATAATTGGATCAATCTCTCAACATCAGCTGAACTAACTTATTCAGCCAAAGAAATTCTGGCCAATGAAGCCAAAACTGCAGCATATGATCCAGTTCTCTTCAAACTGACTGAGTGTTACATCATTTGACCTGTGGCATCAGCTAATTCGATCAAACTGGCATCACCAACGCTGAATTTCTTGGCCAAATAAACTGATTCATCGATAACTCTCAATGCATCTTAGAAGATGACGGCCATCTTGTTGAAGTTCTCTTATTCAGTCTTTCTGACTTCTTGGATCAATGACAAGTGTTATTAGTTCATGGTGAGTTGGTCTTCTGTCATACCGAATTCAGCCTTTGCCTTTTATCTTTAGAATGAGCACAAGTTCAATTGGTTGGTTGAAGCACTCAAGATCTTGCTGGCATCTTGAATTTATCCCTTTCTGAAAGCTGATTCAGAATCGCATTCATTCTTTTATCTGGCATACAAGTCATCATGAGCAATTTATTCTGATGTGACTGAAGTTCTGAAGTCTTACAACATTGTGTTGATTGTGTCGAATGGACCTCCTGAGGCAAGTTTGGATTCGATTTACATCATAATTTCCATGATGTTTCTGTTGGGGATATGATGTTTGCTGAACATATCGATCTAGAAACCCTAGACAGACACTAAAACAACCAAGAGCACAGTCAATGTTGATTTCATTATTTAATTATTTATTTTCCCAAAAACGAATTCTTGTTTTATATTTCAATAATTTATGTCCACATTAGGTGCTAATTTATGATTTCGTAATTACAAATTTATTTATTTAATCATATCCTCACCTCTTCAAAATCAAATCGTTTTATGAAGTATGATAAAATTGAAAAAGTTAACTCAATAGTTCTAAGTTCTATTTAATAAAAATGTTAAAATCATTAAAAATATGCTTGCCTTTTTTTGTGTAATTTCTTTATACCTATATATTTTTACCAAGTTAATTATCTAATTCAGAGACTAATTTATTCTTCTTAAATTCTGAGTTCTCGCTTATACCTCCTAAATGAATTTATGTAGATTAATAATAATTTATTTTCCCAATAATATAGATATTATCTAATAAATGCTGAAATATCAAAAGCCATAAACATGCTCCAAGCAACTTATCTCATAATTAATTGAAAGGGCTGATTTTTTTGGAATGCTCCCTTAATTCAGGATTTTAAAGAGATAAAAGTTCTCGACTCCATTAGGTTAAATTCTTACTATAATCTTGTGCTGTGCTTATTTATATTACATTGTTTATGAAATATTGAATTTGGCAAATAGATACAGTCCCAGGGTAGTTTTTTCTGAATTCCAACCCTCCAATACTTCAGTAAGAATTCTGATGTTATAAAAGCCTTTGTATTTAAGTAAGAATAACTTTACATTTGCCTTAACAATCACCAATCCAGAATTAAGTTCTTTGCAAACTTTAAACAAATATTTTAACTTAGCTGTTTAAAATTGTGTAAGGAATCGCTCTTTGAATGAGGAAGGAACAGCCTAAATAAATTACAAGTAATAATTCTAAATTATCATCTAGTTGTTCTACTATTCCTCTGGAGCCTTGCAAAATGGATTAGCATTTCAGAGAGTAATACCAACAAGAATATTTTCAAAAATTTAAACTTGAATACATGTATTGTCCTGAGATAAAATAGTGGGATTAAATGGCAATGGTATATTTATGATAATACATTCAAAGTAACTGTAGGGATTTAGTCAAGAGGATCGATTTTAATTTTTGACAGTAACCTTAAGTATATGCAAAAATTCTACTACTTATTAAGGCTGTGCACCTTTAGAGGAAATCAATAGTAAGATGCAGGCAGGGTTTTATGTATGAACATTGTTTAATACTTCTAGGTATTGTACTTAAGTGACGCTTTGATCCAAATGCAGTCTTCGTCTAAACCTTATCAGGATGCAATCTCTGTGTAGTATACTCAATTCTCATTAACAAATTCTAAATCCATACATTCAACTATCAAAGTAACCGAAACCAACACTGATTATGGCATAATTAAGACAAACTATGTATTGGACACTGCCTTATAGTAATCTAATATAAAGGAAGATAGTTCGCAGTATAATCATCAGTATTTGGTTCAAAACTCTATCTTCTTGGAATAAAGAAGAAACCTATATGAGAGAAGTTATCAAAAACTGTATACTGTATTGGGACAAGTTGGAGGCTTATGGTAGATTACTATTCTCTTCCTAAATTGTATATTTTATCCTTTATTGTTCTCCTCCATGAATTTGGCTATGGCCAATAAGATCTTTAGGTTCGAAAGCAAGGAATCCCTTGACTTTGATATTATGTCAGTCGCCAAATCAGTTCCAGTCGGAGGGTAACTGAATAAAAGCGATGGGAAGGATTTTCAAGATGAAGTTTTGAGGTCAGATAATACCTTGATTAGGAATCCTTTTGTCGAATTCTCTAAAACTTAAAGAGAAATCAAGAATTTCTTAAGGAAAAAAAAGTGTTCTTTAAATTTTACTTTACTTGATAATATCAAATTCTAATTTGGTTGTAAGAAGGATAAATAAAGGCAATTAAAATATGCTATGAATAAAATAATAAATAAGTTAGATATTTGTTAATTAATTACGAAATTCAATGAATTAGATAAGTTGAAACATATCTTACTCAACAAAGATCAATTAGCTTTATTTAATTATTTACCCAAACCTATGATACCCTATGATATGTTCGATGAAAATTTTGAAAATAAAATTAAGGAACTAGAGCAAAAGCAAGAATATAAATTTATCTTGGAAAATGAAAAACCAGATGTGCTCAGATTAGATGATGCTTATGAAGCCTACTCCAGAGTAATTACTAAATAGGATCTCAATCCTACAGATGAGGCCATTCTAAAATTTATGGATGATGATATTAAGAGGTTGTTCTCTAGAATTCACTCCAATCAATTTGAAATGGTCTGTTAGAATTTCCAATCATCACAACTATTTATGAGAAACAATACAGACAAAGTTGAAGTTCAAGATGAACCTCATATTCAATTGGTATTTGGTAGTATTACAAGCAAATAGTATTGAAAATGAATATTAATTTTTTGGCAATTCGTTTTATATACCAATCACAATCAAAATTGGGATCTTCTGTATTGTGAAGTGACTGTTTGCGATGTCTATTGGAGACCACTCTAACGAGGGGCTTCAGAAGCTCTTAAATTTGTCGGTGTTTAGTTAGTTAAGTATCTGATACATAGATCTTCAAGATCTTAGTAGGTTATCTTGCCATCTTGGTTTCTATCCAAAACTCTATATAAATATATCAACTATGTTCAACTTGTAAAATGAATCAATATCTCCTCTAGCAGGTGAGAAAATACGATTGAATGATTTATAAACATCCACAATCATAGGAACAACTTCTACATTATCAATTTATCCATTTCTATCTCTATCATATGTATCAAACAATCTTCTTGCCACAGCCTATTTTCAAATTAACAAACTAACCTTGGCTCCTTCCACATCAGTCAATCCCAAATTCAAAGGTTTTTGGTCTTATCCGCTGATTACTTAAGTCTTGACAACTGACTCGTAAGTGTTTGAATATTACATATTTAATATTTTATTTAAAATTATTATTCATCAATATAAATAAGATTATTCATTCAAAAAGTAGCTTAATTTTCATAAACGTTGACCACTTTTCTTTCATTTAACCATCTGATTCGAATGATACATTTATTCAATCACAATAGAATTACTAAATATATATATATGTATAAATCATAGTTAAAATAATCAAATTAATTATTAATACTTATTATGAGTCTCAAAATGAAAATGAGAAGAGGGAGATTTTAAAAATTCAAAAGAAAAATCTAAATTATTTAATAATATTTACATTAAGTTGTAATGTTGCTTTTATCAATTAGAGTTTATAAGCATTTCTAAAATTAACCAGTTTAAGGCAATTACTTTAAACCATAGATTAACAATGTAGTTGTGGTTTTTTGATTAACAAAGATGAAGACTTATTGATTCTTTTCTACTTGCTTCAAAATTTCAAAAATAAAAATAATTAAAGTAGATTTTATGGTTGCAAATCGAATATCTTCCCCACAATCAATTTTTATTTTCGTATATGGAGTTTCAAATATTTTGGTGCATTTAAGTAGCAACTTTTTCATTTTCACTAACTACAACTTTTGATTCGATAATTATTTGTAATATACTTCAAATAAAGATATCCTAAGATCCCTCAATAAAGGACTAAAGGTTTCTTGTAAGTAAAGACCCAACACTTTATTGATTTGCATCAGTTAAGTATTTAGAATATTCCTAAAGTGCTATAGAGATTAATGCAATTTGATATTGCTTTAATTTAATAGTGGATCTTCAGAATCGATAATAATTGCATAAATCAATTGCTCATATCTACAACACACAAGTGAAGCTTATAGTTTCTTCGTCTGATATTCAATTACCAATTAATGATTAAATAAACAAGGCGATTGCTTCCTACCTGCATTGATATGAGTTTTTTTTATTAAATATTTTTCAAGCGTCTGTTATTTTACTTTGGATTTAAATAAGAAAGTAGTAAGGGGCTTTTCGGAGTTGAAGAATTCCGTTTAAGCACTCATGATAGTTTGGTACATGTTAGTATTTTTATTAAAGGTGAAGATGAAAAAGGGTTTCTTCAAAAGCAAAGGAATCAAAATTTCTAATATAAAAATATTATTAATACCCCAACTATTGTCCTTGAATTACAAATAGAAGGATTGTCTATACTGTTTTTCTAATTAATATTAAATCACCATGAAACTCAATGACATAATTATTGAATAAAAATATTATTATACAGTAAGATTGTCTGAGTTTTCAATTACTAATATTATTCTTACTATTGTTAAAGCAATATTACTAAAGATGCCCAATTCCAGATTGCATGCAAACATACAAATTGTATGTACGAGCATCTAATTAGATCCAAGTAAATAGCCATCATAATAATCGTAAAGAGGGTATATTGAAATCTCGAAGGCTAATGATGAAAAATTTGTCATCATTAGTGCCAAGTTACAATAATTCATTCTAAATGATTCATTTCTTCTCAAAATTATATACTGCAACAATATATATATCATGACTGCACCTTTGATCAATGCATTTTTGTAATCGCTGTTTATCAAGTTGGCAATTGAATTAGCAAATAATAAAATGGTACCCCCATATGACAAATAAGTTAAAATTGGAAACTAAATCACCTTGACTTTATGGTTTATATATTATTTTTCCATCACTGGATCTTTAAATCGTGTGCAATATTTATTCATCTGAATAATTATATTAAACTAAGTGATCCTTAAATATAAGATAATTATAATTAAATGTTTATTTTACTCCTTTTCAGAGTCATTTATCTATAAATCGCTTTTTCTAATTAACTTTAAAAAATAGTAACATAATCTTTTAAATTGATAATGTACAATATATTATAACAGATACCAGTTCTATATTTTGGATCAACATTGAGTGGCAATATTTAAATACGAATAATATAAATAATTTCACATGAAAATTTTGAGGGAAAATAAATAAATGAGATACAACGAAATTACTCAGAATGATTTGGATATTCTAATATTTTATGATGATGGATCAATAAGAAATTCTATCAATGCTTGAATTAATAATATAATTCTTCATCTCTTTTATTGAGGTTATTTATAGGAGTAAACAATATTAAGATTTCTAATTGGATGTCAATTTGATGAATAGGAAAATATGAGTGCTTTTTCTACAATAGTACCTTATATTATTATGGATAAGAATTGCTAAGTTGATGTAAATAATTAGGGAATGTTTTGACAGATTTAAATTACTATAAGATTTAATTGAAATTTTTATTTTATGATTCAGTTAATATTATAATGGATTCCATGAGGATCAAGCATTTTTTTTGACTTATTTAGACATAGGTTTGGCTGAACTTAATTTCTTCAATAAATTTTAATCATTAACACTAATTAATTGCAAGTTTGAATTCTTCCAATCGTAGTAAATATAATCATCGAACTTTGATTAGGAGAATAGCAATTACATTATCTTCAACTAAAATCATGTTTAGTAATTTTTATCTTTTGTCAACTTTACAGGATTTCGAATATTGTGAAGTTTATTCTTTGAACTCTAATCTAAATTTAGGAATTTATGTATACATTAAAGCACTTCTTCTTGTTGAGAGGAGACTAGTTTCTATGTTGAGTTCATCTTTACTGATTGTACAACCTCTTTCATAATCAACTAAATATTCTGGAAATGTTGTGTTTCTCCATTCTAATTGACGACATCGCTAGGTTTAAAAGCATTATTTTACTAGGTTGGAAGTGCAGGAGTAGTAGGTTCCTATTTTTCTTCCTAGAAAATACTCGATTAATTGTTGCTTAGATCTAGTTATAATGAAGGGGACTGATCATACTTATAGGGTCATCTGGAAGCTTCCCTAGAATCTGAGTGATAGTTTTCTTCTTTAAGCTGGGGTGTTTAAGACTCGAACGATCTAATTTGGAGGATTGTTCTTTGGCAAAAGTGATATTGTTGATTTAAACATCGTTCTGATCCTAAATGACCTCTTGACCATAATTATCTTGCCTTTATTTACAAACAGTTGCCCCCATTTTTAATCTTAATTTTAATTATAATTTTTCATTAAATACACAAAAACCTCAATGATTACAAAAATGCCTCTGAGAATAGCAAGAACTTTATTCTCCGTCAATTTTCCAGGATCTCAAATCAGTATTCCACAATAACCAATTGAAAAAAGTATAGTGTTGATGTGAATATAAAGATCAGCTATTTTAAGTGATAGAAAATGAAATATTGTTTGAAGTTATTCCAATGAACAACAACCAACAAAATTCAGACTAAACCAAAATCAATGGTTTCCAAGATCCAAGATTTCCTAGATCAATAAAGAATAGAATTAAGTAAGAACGTAGAAAATGTTTAAATTTTAATTTGTATCGATTTCTATAACAATGGCCAATCTAAAGAATAAGAAATTATAGATAGCCAAATAATCCAAATTCAATAGACCTCCCAAACTCCCCTCACCTCATTTAAAAGTATTCCACAAATTCAAGCCCCCTTCAGTGTTTATCTGACCAAAGGGAATGGAATCGTATCCTGTTACGAATGCGTGGCCTACGATGGAAAGGTACTGAATGTAGTGACTCTAGATAAAAATCGAAATGGTTTCCATTATTGATGACGTTGAAGAACACAAACTAATTCCTAGAGAAAATAGAGGATTGGAGGAGTACAATGGATGTAATCACCATATCGAGGATTCTGTACAATATTGATAATAAAAAAGATATAACATGAAATGTTGAATTACTTAAAGACTTTTGAAATAGATTCAGAACTTGCTTAATTTGTACAACACATTCAAATCTACTAAGAGCAGGTTCTAAATGTGAACTATTTGTAAGACAACCCTATACTTCATGATTGATGTAATTAAATAATTCTATATAATTATAAAACAATACTTTCAATACATGAATTTATTGATTCGATTTTAAGAGAATGTTACTCAAATTGCCTAACTATTCTACAACATATATAAATTATCATCCATTAATTATACAACTTTTTAAATAACACAATACAATATATTTTATTTATTATTATCAATAATGTCCGTAGTGGAACTTCCAGATGTAATTACTCCCAATTATTAATAAGATTAGACTCTATTCACATAAATCTCGTACCAGATCTAAAAGAAGCAATCTCGATCAATATCGTAGTTTAGCCGTCAAGAAATCTGTTGACAAAATGATCAAATATAATAGTATGTCTTCTGTTCTGGGATAAGATAATGATTACTACCCCAAACAATTGGAAGACCAAAAAGTATACATACATCTACATATATTTTCATAGAAAATCGATGAAGCTCAAGAAGTTCATGCCAATTTGACGGAACTCAAGAAAAGTTGTGATAATATGAAAATGTCTGGGAACACCAAAGACAAGGATATTGACAAGATGAGGAAGGACATTGATCAAATGAGCTATTAAATCGAATAATATAATCTGAAATAAAAGGATCTAACAAAACAGGAAAATGAATACTCATAAAAATTATAAGAATAATAAAAATTATTAAGCCAAAGCAATTATGATAAAAAGATTTTCGAACACATGTTAACAAGAATGAAAAAAGATTAAGTTACTTATTAACTAAGAGCAAACCAATATGAAAGACACCTTAAATAGGCATTGTCCACCTGCTAATCAACAAGTTTAAAGTAAAATATATCTTAATAATTATAAGGGCTTAGTAAATTCAAGTTTTGCATTAAAAAACAATGTTGGCTTTGAAAGAGGTGGCTGATGGAATCAAACAATAAAATAAAAATAGGGAAACTAATATTAATAGATTCAAAAATGAGTTAAAATAGAAATAGGATGTTGAATAAAAAAGAGATGACAGAATTAAAAGGCAATAAGAGATTGCAGAAGTAGCTGCAAATGACATTAGAGATGGGGCATTGAAAAAATGGAGAAAACTATTATTAGTTCACAAATTCTTAAATTCTTTCTTAAAAAACAAAATGCAAATGGGCATAAATCAATATCAAAATTTAGAAATTGCCTATTAAAAAATCAAAGCATCTACAGGCATTTCAGATGCTAATGAAATAGTTTAGAAGTTTATTGGTAGAGAGCAAACTTATGCCCATTTACTCATATCAATTTCGGATTATGAGAAGAAAATTAATAACTTAAAGCAAGAAAACCTAGAATTAAGAAACCATTTTAATCAGTTGAAATAAGATTACAGTGATATGGATAAGGAATTCTTGGTAGAAAATAATAAATAAAGAAATGAACAAACAGATTAAGATAAAATGGTTATAGAAGTAGAAGAGAAAGCAACAATATCCGGTTTACTATAAAATAAATTGAAGAATTGGATTACAAAAAACCTGAAGAAATTGTCATAATCTAAAGATAAAGGATTTTAAGGGATAATTGATGCCATTAGAGAAAAATTGCTTAACCTGTCTTAATTGGTAATTGCATATTCTTATTTTATAGTAACAATAAGAATTGTTGAATAAATCTATGAAGAGTTCTGTTTTAGAGTTGAATGACTAGGAATTTTTAAAAAGGAACTTCAGGATCAAACCAAAAAAATAAAACTCTCATCTCCATTCAAATAATTCTTAGGATTATTCTATTTTACGAGATGAAGATGAAATCTTTAATGAATTGCCCAGTAAAGATGAAGAATAAGAAGATTAAGAAGAAGATCATTTAATGAATCAATTAAGAGAAGAAATAAAAGGGAAAATGTTGAAGAAGTGACAGGCCATGTTGTGAATTTAATTATTCCATAATTTTACAATTCATATTTTATTTTATTACTCTCTAAATTAGATTTTCCAAGTAATAGTTATAGAAAATAGGAATGTAAAAAGAATACAGCTTTTGAATATAAAGGGAAAGAATTGATATTATCTATGATTTTCATTTCTGTCCTTTTTCATCATCAGAATAAAAAACATCATGTTGTTATTATTTTTGTATAACTTATTATGAATGATCCTCTTCTTTGCTTACCTTCTTTACCGATTCCGACTCATATTCAGAATCTTCGTCATCGTAATCAACAGTGCCTCGATGATGAGTTGAAATTTAAACATAATGCACTTATAATCTCTATGATAATTGGCGGTAAGAAAACCCCATAGAATTTAGGTGTTCTACCAATTCCCAAAACTCTTGCTTCTAGTATGTATAAGGAGAACTTCTTCTTCCAACAAGTTTTTGAGGAGGAGGAGGATTTAGGTCTTTTTCAATGAACACTCTGAAAATGGCATCAATGTTTGTTTGTACTCTTTAATTGAGAGACTTTTTGATAACAATCTATTATACCTGATCTGGTATTAATTTTTCTAAAAACATTTGCATAGTTTTGTACATTCTTTTGAAGTCTATGGCTTTTATTTCTTGTGTGTTTGCGTTTTTGATATCAAAAGGAAAATCCCCATTTTCTGGTTTTGGTACAAATAACGGGCGTGTTTATTTTTTTCTCATTAATTTTTTAAAAATCAAATTTGAGATTGTGCTTCATCATATATTTATTGAACAAATCTAATTAGAGAAAATAATAATATATTTTAAATATATATATATGTTATGTTATAAAAGAATAAGCTAAACATTGTTTTACCTCCCAGTCTTCATGTTAAATAAGTGCAATTTGCCAGAATATAACATTTAATGATTTAAGATTTAATAATTGATTACTTTTGTTGAAGTATGAAAATAATTCTCTGGCAAAGTTTAGATCATCCCAATAGAATAGACACTAATAGTAATTTGTTAATAATTAAATGTTTTAATAAATAATTTTTAACTTATGCGAATTACACCCGTTTCTCTTTTAAATTTTGATTAAACCTCAGTCAGAGATCCTATAATCAATTCCCCAAGATCATTGGAAGCTTGTAGAAGATAGGGAATTCGACCTGAATAATTGATAATGAAGAGTATATACGATTTGAAGAGAGAAAACAGGAATTTAAACCTAGATGAAGAGGCTTGGAAAACCCTGCTTTAACACGAAGAAGATAAGAGATAAGCAAGAGTTTAATTATTGGTGGGAGAGAGAGAGAACATTATTTAGCAATGGAAGAATGATAATGCATAGAAAAAGCTTGAGAGGGTTGATTTTGAAAAAGAGAGAAAGAGAATGGAGATGATTTAAAAAAGAAGACAAAAATAAATGCAAAAGGCGGTAGATGAAGAAATAAAAACACAAGAAATCTAGAATCAATTAAGGTAAAAGGAAATGGAAATGAGATAGAAATAAAATGAGTAACGACAAGAATTAGAATAAAGAAAGAAGGAGAAAAAAGTAGAAGAAGAATTTAGAAAATAATAAATGGAATATCAAGACCATTTAAGAAAATAAAAGCTATATGCAGAGTAAGACAGATTAAAATACGAAAACACTCATAAGATTACACCGTAATAGAGAATAGAATAGGAAAAGGAACTTTAAAAGTAAAAGAAAAAAAGAGAAAAATAATTAAAAAAAGCACAGGATGAAAGAGAGGAGAAAGAGAGATATCGGTAATAAATGTTAGAATAATTATATGAAGAAAAACTGTTAAAAATGGAATAAAGAGAAGAAAAGCGCAAGATATTATTGGAAGAAGAAAAAGAACTTAGATAATAGTTGATTTAGGAAAAATAAAATGAAGCAAATTATAGAAGGGAGGAGAATAAAAGAAGGGCTTAGCATCAATAAAATTAAGTGTATTTGAATTTTTAATAAAAACAATTTAATGCTGAATAGAAGTTGATTGCCAAGTAGTAAGAAATTGAGATGATGAATAAGGAATAAGATATGAAAAGAGATTTATAAAGGTAGAAACGATAGCAGATTCAACAAAAGAATTTAGTGTAATAAGAAAAGAGAAGAGATGATTTGATTTTCAAATTTAAGGAAATCGAGGATAGATTTAAAATTAATGAAATGGATAGAGAATTAACATTGCATCAAAAAAGATAACTTTAATAGGAGAGAGAGCATTATAGATAATAAGTAAAGACATTTAGAATATTTTTAGTTATTATTAAAAAATGATTAGGAATTATACAAAAAATGTGAAAAGATCAATATGGAAAGAGAAGCAAAGGAATTATAAGCACTCAAAGTGTTGAAGGAGCGAGATGATATGATTAAGGAGAAACACCTTAAGGATGTGCTGAAAAAATAAGAATAAGAAGAAACATAGGAAAGAATGACCAGGATAAGAGATTATGAGAGGGAGAAATTGTAGAAGGAACTTGAAGAGAAATCTAAGAGAAGAGATTAAATAATTAAGGAGAAAATGGCTTCAGAGAAAAAGAAGTAAGAGTATAAGAAAGCCCAAATCATAGAAAAAGAATAACTTTAAAAAGATATAGCAGAATTATTAAAAGAACATCAATAATAAGACCCTAAACCAGTAATGATAAAACCGAAAAGGAGACCTGAGAGTGCCCCCTAAAAAAATAAAGGATTCTAGGAAAAATAACAATAACAAAAGATTAAGCCTGTTGCCATTGATATTTAGACTAAGGAGAATCAAATATAAGAACTGAAAATAAAGTAAAACCAAGAATTACTTAATGTAAATGTTAAATTAATCAAAGCTATTGTAAGAGGAGGAAAATAAAGAGTTAGACAGGCAGAAATTATTGAGATAGGTTGATGATCCGATTGAAAGAATGAGACTGGAAAGAATATTAGAGTTTGAAAGAGCTTTAACTCAAGATAGGCTTGCACAATTAGACAATAAGCATCAGAAAGAATTAGAATAATTTGAATGAACTCTACTTTTGAATACCATTTACATCAAAATTCATATTGTAATTATATGCATTTATGTTTTGTTGTTCCTGTTTATTAATTTATATATATTAAAATATAAAATAATGTAAATGGACATTCCTAGTATGTCATAGACAAGATTAAGCTCAAAAAGGTTAAGTTAGAGATTTCGGATTGATAGATAAGGTCATCCAATTTTGAGAGGATTTAAGTTGCATTCAGTTACATTTATCGATGATGTGGTTGTTGGCACAACAGTTCATAAGACTATTCTTGTAGACTGTTGGAAACATCACAATTTGAATGATTTTAGAAAAAAACCATCTCAATGTTGTGAAATTAGCTGAGGATTGATAATGATTTGACTTTATATAACAAATTACTTTACTAAATTTTTTCTATGGTTTCTATACAATTATTTGTAATAACTTGATTCAAATTAGAATTTAAAGGAGGATTTCTAAAGTTTAAAGAAAATGAAAAATTTAATTATTTGTAATATATATACAAATGAGATTACAAAATAGAAGATCACAACGATCAAAATGCATATTCTCTATCTGTAGCCTTGTTATTATCAATAATCCACTTATGTAACAGCATTTAATCAATAGATATTCTCTAATCTGGACTTTGTTGTAACCCTCTCTTAACAAAATCCTTCAAAGCAGATGAGAAGAAATTAGGAAGATCAAATTTATTCTAAATTAATAAAAAAACAATATACCTTTAAAATGTTTTCCATAATGGCTTCATCATCTCTTGGAAATTCTGAAAATGGAGTATTTCCAGCCACAAGCTCATAAGCCAAAATAGCAATTTGCCAAGCATCGCATCTTTCATCATAACCTTCATCCTTGATTACTTCTGGTGCAATATAGTCTACAGTGCCACAAAAGGTATTCCTTCTGTCTTCGAATTTAGGTATTTCTCTAACACAACCAAAATCGCATAATTTAATGTAATTCTAGGTTATTGTAAATTCTTACAAGAGATAATAAAATGTTTTCCGTTTTTAAATCCCTATGCATAAATCCTTACTTATGCATATATTGAATGGCAGAGAGAATTTGCATTATTAAATTGCTAGCCTCCTTTTCACTGAGTCTTTTATTAGGCTACTTATATTGATGCTGAAATAACTCTCCATTATTGCAGAACTCTAACATCATGTATATATATTATTGATCGTAACAATGCCCAAACATTTTGACTATGTTTGGATGGGATAATTTGGATTATATCACTATTTCTCTTGCTAATTATTCTTGCATTTAATGCTCAATAACAGTTTACTTTTTGATAATTTTTAATGCAAAAACAAGTCCAGTCCTATTGTCAATAGCCATATGAACATCACTAAATTTACCCCTTCCCAAGAATGCCCCTATTTTTAATTTCAACTTATTTTCTATTTAAATATAAAGGGGATTAGTTTATTTTGGCATTAGATTTTAGGTAATCACTTTTTGAGTTTGATGCTCATCCAATAACTTCTTAACGTAATTGTTGTTCTTATTGACATAATTAATAGCACTTGTAGTGTTTAACACAGTTGGGTTTTTACCAGCACTTGCAGTAAATTTAAGATTGCCAAATGCATTGTGACTTAAACTCTTACATGCTGCTATTTTCGGTTGAACCTTAAATGGAGAGTTTAATTTACAGGAGACATTTACTTTCTGCAATTTCATCCTTGATGATAAACCAGCAGCTGTAGATGTTGATTCTTTGGTTTAACGTTGATCTGATTACTTTTTGTTAAGATTCATACTGATATTATTTTTTAGCAATACTAAATTATCTTAGAGACTCTTAGATTTGTCAATCAATTTATTCCAATCCTTTTCCATCTGTTCTCTTTGTTTTTTGACAGTTGGAGATGGTTAGCGTAATTATTGGCACATCGTAGAATCCTCTATTGTAATATTTAACTCTTTTGATGTTTTGCGAAAGGCTATGTTGCTATGCACTGGCGAATTGAATTTCATTGATGGACCATAAACTATTTGAGAAGCTGGATATTAAATCAACTATTTGATTTCAGACCCGTCTCTTGTCTATGAAGGCTAGATGATGTTTCGCAATTTTATACTTTGTCTCTCTGAGTTTGTTGCGATGAGAAATACACTGCAGAAGTGGCACCAAATTGATTGTGGTACTTAATATGACTTTGATTAAGTTGAAACATCCTCAAATTTTAATATATAATGATCTTAAGAACACAAAAAATAATTAATCGTTGTTTATGCATTTTAATTAAATAAAATTTATTTAATTAAAAATATAAAAAGGGGTTGTCAACACGAGGACTTCCCAAGCGGTCCCCCACCTTAGTACTAACCTCGCCTTAAGCCGCTTAACTTCGGAGTTCGAATGGGATCCGGTGCTTTAGGCTTAGTATGGCCGACAACGATATTTACTATATGCTCTCTCTTTTATATCACGTAGTTAAACTTAGTTTCCATATATATATATACATATATAAATACTAATAATTAAAAATCATTAATTACAATGAAACTTTTTTATTTACTCTATTTTTTCTCTCTTCTTTCAAATAATCTTGATACAGAATAATTGTTGGCAGTAATTTGGTACTAAATTTCTGAATTTTAGAAAATGATGTTGAAATATAATAAAGGGGTCATTTATTGTCATAGTATATTCAAAATTTAATATTGAAATCAAACTTCAAAAGAGAGATTACAAATTTATTTTTAGTTTTGAATCTAATTAATTAAACGAGCTTTTCATAAATAAAATTAATCATTAATAAATGACTCATCTGATACCTTACTTGATATTAATCTTTTGTTTTTCTTGTGACTTTATAATGGACTTAAGTTAAGATTATTAAATACAAACCTAAGAGTTATCCTTTAAATTAGAGGACTTGGCCAGCAATTAATATTTTTCATATGGGTTGTGGAGTAAATACTTGCCTTTAAGACAGATAAGTTAAATTGGTAAAATAGGTATTTTTGATAGTAATTGTTATCATTTACACAATTCAGTTGATTCTTCAACTGTGAAGATAGATTTAATTTACTTTGACTGTCTTGATTTTGATGAGAAGAAAATAACAAAAGTCATTTAGTTTTTTGATTATGATGGAATATTTCACAGCTATGATATAAAATTAGATTAATGGGAATATGAAAATAGATGGTATTTCATTTCGATTGTCTAATGGCCATTAGAAAAAAGGTGTGAATTGCTATTTATACTTCACCCAGATACAATCTTTACAAAAATCTTATAAATTATTTGCCCTTTCAGGAGTTTAAATTAACTAATGACTTTTGGAGGTGGATTGATACTTTCAAATGATGAGATTCTTTAGAGTATGCAAGGTAGCAAGCAATTATCATTCTTTCCAGGAAAATTGTATTATGTTTTCTTATTGTCTTAAATTATGAGTTTTGACAGGAATGGATTAGCAATAGCAGTTGATACTTTTGGAGAACTTTATATTTGTAACTGTGAATCAAATATAAATGATAAGATCGAAAATGAAATCCTTATTTGGCTTGATTAACGATATTTTACGTCTGAAAATGGAAATTGTGATTCATTTGGATTATCAGGATGGTTAAGAATAAAGGAAATACATAAAATAAGTGATAATTTCGATTATTAATTTTTGAAAATGAATAAGTTCAGTTAGAATTTAAAGTTTAATGATGATAATTTATCGGCTTTTTAATTGCTTTACAGAATCTTATCACAAAATAAATATGAGATATTAATAATGACTTATAGTTACACATTTCCAATTGTCAACATAGATTTTACGGATAATCCATTTTTAATTATAAGGGAAATCGAAATTTAGAATGACATTTATTTATGGCACTATTTATAAGTTACATTATAATAGAAGGTGTTATAAATAATGATTACATTTTATAATGAAGAAGATTAATATTAATATTCAGATTAGTTAAACGTAAATCATTTTAATGAAGTTTAATTTCAAATTCATTATGGAAATGTAAATTAGGAATCTGAAAATTACTTAAATGTTTAGATTGAAAATTTCCATTTTTATAATTGCGATACCACTTTAGTTAATAAAAGGTGTCATCTAAGTTGTGAATAATGTGATGGACCAACCAATTCTGATTGTATATCATGTTCTCATAATTCCAATAGAATTTATATTCCCACAGAAAAGGCTTGTGTTTGTCACTATAACGAAATCGATTAGGATTTTTGTTATTCAAAAGAACAATTTCAAATTCAAATTATTGAATATACAAAAACTGAAATAGAATGCGAATATGGATACTTTTATATGGATTCATAAACTTGTATCAAATGGTATAATAAATAGTTATCATTTTTATAGTCCTTCGCTTATCAAATCTAATCTTATTACATGTTTAGAATGTATCTTTAATCCTCTTAATTGGAAATCTGAACTTTATTGTTAATCATATCTATATACCATTGCAGATAATACATATAATACAATTATTCAAGATACTAAAGAATACTATATTTTAATTGATGATTAACTCCTGTTGTGTAAAGATTGCGATTAAACAAATTTTTAATCTGATTCCATAATTTATCAGGATTTCTCCAATTAATTTTTGATTCAAAAGGAAATTTGTTAAAGAAATTACTTCTTAAATTAATATGACCCCTATTGTTATCCTTGCAATTTAAATCTCTGTGAAGTTTGTGTAGTCTAATTCAATGGACTAATTTGCCTTGCTTGTATATTTAAATTATCCCTAAATGAAGGCTTTTGTAATCGATATAATAATGTTACAGGTTATTCAAATACTAATGATTGCGTTTCTCCTTATTATATAACATCAAATAAATAATGTAAAATCTGTACTATAAATCAGTGTAAATTTTGTTTCGAATATAATAGGCAGGATTTAACAAAATGCACTTTGTATAAAGATTTTGAAGAATTTAATAAAGACGAGAATCATTAAGTAGGATGTGCATTGTGCGAAGATAATTTTATATTTGATTTTTAAAAAGGATATTGCATACATTAAAAACCTACTCTTCAGTATTGTTTAAGATCCTTTATAAATTTAGAAGGAATAGAAATTTGCACATTATCTTAAATTGATGATTTCAATATTGCACCTGAAATTATTAATTGCCAAAAATACATCGCAGATTGTCTTTAATGTGTTTTATCTCCATAACAGATTATCAAGTGTGTGATTTGCAAAGAAGGCTACAAGAGTTCTGTTAAAACAGGTCATTGCTCTCCTAATATTAATCCGAATTCTAAAATAACTGCCGAAGGAATTCTAAATATATTTGATGCTTGGGTTCAATTAATACAGAGTTTTTTGATGTAATTCCTTCCTAACTAATATTATTACTATTTATAGGACATGCCACATTAGAAGTTAGAACTCTCAATTGAATGTTTATAGGGATTTTAACTGAGCTAAAATTTATGTTTTTAATATTGTGATTCTAATTGCCTATAATGTGATATATCATAGTCTTCAAAAAATATCTTTGAATGCACAAGATGCCCCTTAAATTACTATAGATTACCTAATAGATCGAAAAATCAAGGTAATTGTTTAATTTGCCCATAATTATGTTCGATCTGCTAATTAAGATCAAAAAAGGAAATTCAAGTAATTAAATCAATTAGAATTAGGCTATCAATCCCTACTTTATTTTAAATGAAGCAACTATTCCTATTACTTACAAATGTTTGTAACCAGCACCCGATCCCAATATTAGGATAAACCCCATTTTATAGATTGCTAAATACTGTTTCAATCCGAATTGTTAGGATTGTTATTAACTTTAATTTCTAATAGATTGTTCAACATTATCTTATGGATTAAATTATGGAACGGAAGCATATTATTAATAATATATAAATAAGGCCTACCTTAATGCTATGGGAGTTGAAGTCCTATAGATCATTTTTAATTTTTCTCAGTTAACTGCTGATGCTTTTTGTGTATTTGGGAATACTCTGTATATAAACAATAGGTTAAGGGAAGAAGTATTTTCTTTATAGATCATCAAAATGTAAATTATAGGGGCGGTTAAAATTACTTAAAATTTTCATTATGATCTCGAAATTTAAAATTTTGAAGTAGTTGAGATCTCTCAGATGTATTTTTACATGTATTTTCCATTTACAATTAATTTATTTACCAATAAAGTGAGTTTGATCATAAATGATACTACATTTTAAGCATAAGACCAGTTTATTTAATCTTAATTTCAAATAAATGGATCAATTTATTAGGAATTCATTTTACATAATGTTATATTTAAAAATTTGCTTATTAGTGAATCAACTGTTTTCAATATTAAATACAATAGTATCATAGAAACAGTTTTTATAGAAAACTTATAAATAATCAATTGCACTTTCTCGAATTCTAAATTCATTTAACTTTCAGGAAATCCAAAAAAAATTATCGTGAATAATTTAGAGATTATTAATTGCTTATTTTACAATACTTTGATTTTTAATTTTTTTGAGATAGAATCAGAATCATTCCTTGTTCAATTTCAGAAAATTTCTGTAACTGAAACCACCCTTAAACAATCTGTTTTAGTAAATAATCCTCAAAATTTTGGCTTAACTATATAAGATATGAGGTTTTCTAATAATCATCTCATACTTTCAACTGTCTTTATTACCAATTTCAAAGTTTTTTGTTTAAACTTAAATATAAGTTATAATAATTTTCTTGGATCCCTCTTTATAAAATCAGAATAAGCAAATCAAACGAATGATATTAATATGGAATTTCATAATGTTGAAATCATAAGAAACTCAATCAATAATTCTTCAATAATCAAGGTATCTTCAGATTTAATTTCAAATAGTTTTAAATTGATTTTGACTACTGTCAATATTCTAAACAATAAAGATGATTTTTTATACAAATAGAAGTATTATATATTTGATGTACATGTAAAATTATTATTTGTAAATGGAATAATTATTAAAGATTGCCCAAATCAAAATATCTTTTATATTTTTCAAACACAAGATATCCTCTTTCAAAACGTTTTATTTGCTAATACTTAGCAGCAACAAAAAGTACCTATGAGCTTATCATGCTCTGATTAAATTGAGTAAAATTAGCAATTAATTGAATTATAAGGGTTTCAAAATTTAACATTATAGAATATATCAATTCAAAACCATTTTAATATCGATTAGAGTCTGATTTCTATTTTTTCGAATATCATTTACTAAACTAATCTATTAGAATTGATTAATATCCAAAATTTAAAATTTTCGAATAATATATTATTGAAGAACAAAATTGGAAACCTATTGTCTTTGATAACTATATATTCTGAAAAAGAATAGGTAATTGAAATTTCTAATTTGACATTTATAGAAAACATATTTAATTAATATTCTGACGACTTGTCAATCTCATCCTCAAGTTTATTTTACATCAATTCTTAATTAAGCAGAATAGTATTGATAGATTGCTTTTGCTATAACAATATGCTAACAAACTCATCTAATTCTTTCTTTTCAATTCAATCAGATAATACTGTTATTTAAAATTTGACAGTAAAAAATCACAATATTATTGATCAATAGATTTTCAAGAAGTATTATCAAATAGATTTTTTATAATCTTTAACGCAAGAAGAGATTTTGCTTGTTATAAAATCTTATTTAATGATCTAAAATAAAGGAGGAGTAGTTTAAATTACTGCTTCTAATTTTTAATTAAAAGGAAGCAGTTTCGAAAATATTTTAGCTCAAAGTAGTGCTGTATTAGAAATCATAACAAAATTTTTGGGTATAGTTTGTATCAAAGAAGTTGGTTTAAAGAATATCTAAGTTGACTTCACTCAAACTTTAGATATACATGGGAGTATCACTATTTACTCCTAAAATAGTTAATTATAACTAGAACTAAATAACGTTAGTTTTATAAATGTTTATAACAAATTTGATTCTTCCTGTTTGACTCTGTTTCCATCAATGAAATAGAATAACTTATCATTTAAGAATATTTACCTTGAAAATAGTCTCTCTTTAATGAATGCATTCACTTAGAGCTTGACTTCTAATAATATAAAAATAATCTCAATAGTATTATAATTTAGAATATGACGATTATCTAAACAATGGATGCATGGTTGAACTATTTTACATTTGTTGGAACCTTAAGTTTAATTGAAATGCTGAAAATTCTTAATGATAATGCCATAATAAATGTATTTGGTAGTTCTGTTAAAATCTTTAATTTGAATGTATAAGGGGTGCTTATTTCATCAGCATTGTAGATTATTGATGCCTCTCAATTTCAATTATTTGAAACTTACTTTACTACCATTTAAACTTTTGTCTCAATCAATATAGTTTATATAGGGTAGAGTAGGCTTAATAAGATTTAATTATTAATTAGTTAGATTGAATTCAGTTAATTTGCATAATTTAAAACTGATTAGCATTAGTTTATAATAACAAATCTAATCAACACCAACACCTAATTTTCAATATGCTTTCCTACAATTGAAAAATCTCATTTTATTAGATCCGATCATAACTTGTATTCAATTATAAATTAACTGAATGAATAGTAATCCAAAATTGGATCAATGATTTTTATCTAGAGTTGGACTAACGAAACAAGATTGTTTTTAAATTCTTTGACTATCAAAAATAATGACTGTTCTAATTGTTACCTAGGAATGTTATATTTAGATATTTAAAATGTAAATAAAATCAAAATCAATAATCTTTTTTGTTATTAGAACAAGTTATTAAAAAATGGTTGTGTTACTATAATGACTAATTCATCTTTAAATAGTTCTATAATTATTTAGAATTCTTAATTTATTTAGAATAATGGTAGTTAAGGATCAGGAATTATTTCACATTATATTCATATTGTAATTTCGAAGTGCATTTTTCTTAATAATAATGCATCAACCAAGGGAGGTGCTATATATATTGAATCAAATTCAAACTAATTTTAATTTTTAAATACAATTATTATGGAAAATAAGGCTAACTCTGGAGGTGGAATTTACTTGGATGGAAATAATAATGATTTAAATAGTGTCAATTTTAATGGATCAATTTTGTAATTGAATAAAGCCTTGGAAAATAGTGATAATTTAATAGAAATACCAGATCATTTAGAATTAGAAATAAACAGTTAAGAAATGAGCTTTTATTAAGATAAGTAAGATGGAATTATAACAAATATCCTGTAACTAAACTTTTATGAAACAATCCAACAAGGTTAGAAAATGAAAACATCCATTTTGATGATACCAAGTAATCAATAAATAGGAAATTACGGTTTGTTTAATATGCAAAAATTGGATTATTTTGTATAAATTAGTGAAATTTCCATATCATTGAGAAATAGTATGAATGAAGTGTTGACTAATTATGGTGATTCAATTTGTGAATTAAAACAAAGTGTTGTGTCCTTAGATGGAGTATTCAAAAAAGAAACAGAAACTTTCCAAGTTTTATAAATTAACAGTTAAAGCAAAAAGTATGATTTAGGAACTCAAATTTTACAATTAGATCCTTATTCAGATATAAATACTCAACTAAAAATACAGATTGATTGTAATCCACAGTACAGTTCTAAAAGATTAAGATATGTAATCTATGCTAAAAGTTATTTATGTTAATTAGGAGAATATTATGTAGATAACGGTTGTTAAAAGTGTTAATCAATACAAGGATATTATTCGGTCACTTATAATGCAACCAAATGTTCAATATTTGATAACTCTAAATTTAAGAATATCACATCAAATTAAATTAATTTGAATCCTGGATATTGGAGACCAAACTATCTATCTGATTCAGCTGAATAATGCTTCAAAAATGTTATCTTTTGTAGTGGAGGCTGGGGAGTGAGTGATAATTTATGCTTATTAGGTCATATTGGAGGATTATGCGAAGAATGTGATATTTATAATATTAGAGGAAATGGCTAATATATCAAAAGTTATACAAATATGGAATGTAGCATATGTCCAAAGGAATCGATTAATTTATTACCCTTTGTATTTGTATTTTTATGGTAAAAGTATAATAATATATCGAGGTCTTTTCTTTCAATTTTATTATCAGTAAGAAGCATAGAAAAAACAAATCAATTATATTCCTCTTTGAGTTTTAAATAGAGATTTAGAAGAATAATATTTAAACTTAATCAAGGTATTATTTCATTTATAGTTTTATAGATCATCAGAGTTTTTTAATTAAAATGCTACTGAACTATTTATGGATTTTCTCACTTATCTATAGCTTCAATATTCATTTCCCATTCTCAATTACATTTTTCGAATCAACAAGCAACTCTTCTTATGTCTTAGCCAATAGTTAAGATTGTTATTTATCAACTTTAATAAACACGGATATAGTATACTCCAGAGTAATTACTATGATAATTGTAATAATCTGCTAATTGGTGTTGTTTACTCTAGTTGCTAAACTTCATTCAATAATCAAAAAGGAATATTTTCAGATGAGCATAATAACAAATACAATTCTATATTTATACCTATCAAATAATGCAACTCTAATCAAACAGTATAATATAATTCTAAAGTTAGGTTTTGTTCTTTGTTAGCTATTAGAAGAATATCAGAAATTGAATTTGTTTAAGGAAATGTATCATTATTATTCAATACTTAAACTCATTTTCGATGGATTATTTGGTTTATCCTTCCAGGTTTAATTTTGATTGGTGTAGGAATCCCAATATTTTTGTTTATGTTAATTTATTTTAGAAGGGAATCTATAGAAAAAGTAAGATTTAGAAGGCACATTTGTTATTTGCTTAATGAATATAACAAAAATTCATATTTTTGGGAATAAATTAAGATTTGGAAAAAAACTCTCATTATTTTAATAATGATTTATTTTGAAACAAATATAATTTTAAAGGCCTCCTTACTGGGATTGTGCTTATTGTTATATTAAACTTTGGCTTTGAAATATAAACCTTTTATTCTAAATAGTTTAAATATATTGGACATCTCTACATGCTAAATATGCTCGATATCAATATTTTTAGCCTCTGTCCAATATGTGAGCGATTAATAAAACCCTGTCATCTCCACTTTTTTGTAAATGATTTTAATTATCTTATGGATCAAACTTTGCTAACCTTTCATTTTAAAAATTTTTAGCATCTACTATAAAAGATACAGGATAGAATTTTTAATATAGATTCTAAACTGCATTAAGAAGGTTAAATCTAATATTTGGTTTGTTTAGATTTTGAATAATCGAATTCAAACATTGAAAAAAAAGGAGAAACAAATATAAATTAATTATGGAAAATTAAAGTTGTATCTGATATGCTGCTCTAAAATATCCCTAGAATAACATAAGTATTTATGAAATTATATTAAGAAATATGAACTAATAATTGATTCCTATTTCAACATTGAGAAGTAGAGTATCTTTTTAAGAGAACGATATAAAATAGTTGTTTATTTGAATATTTAATTAGTTAATCAATAATTTAATAACTATATATAATAATTATTATTCCTCTTGCATTTAGTATTAAGGGATCATCTATTTTGATAATATGAATTAATTTGATGAGAAAATATATGAATAATAAATAATATTTTAAAAAATTATTAGGAATTTAGAAAAGTTTTACATAAACGTTTTTTCCAAAAAATTAACAATATCAATAATCAAACCGCTACCAAAAACATTTTAAATTCTTTTCATATACAATGTCATTGTATTCTACCTCAATATTATTTAAGAATCAAGTATTTAGCAATTAACTTTAATTTCTTATGCTAGAGTATGACTTAATTAATATTACATTATAAAAGACCAAAGCCACCATATTTTTTTAAATAATTTATGAATAAATGAATATTATAATAATTCTAAATTATAAGAACTCAAGTAAAATACGAAACCAAGAAACGAAGCATGTCTACCTAATAATTCATCAGTTCTCCTTATTTATACACATGCCATTAAAAGATAATTAAGACTAAAATAAGAAGCATTTAATTGACTTTTAATATATATCATTATTATTCTTGCATTTCAATATCTAAGAGATTGTTGAGAAGTGGAAAGTTTCGATCTACTAAGGCTAAATTTTAAATTTGAAAAAATCTATTGATCAAATATATAAATATGTACCTTCTTCCATGCAAAGGGTAAAACATGGTCCACAGTTATGGCAATTCATTAACCCAATTCATTGAAAATACTGGTAAATAGTAACAGCGAGGCCTATCAAGTGTTGGTGTATAAAATGATAGAGGATTCCATCCTAAACTAGGGATTTCATAGATGAAAATAAATAAGCAGAATGTTCCGAAACATGCATAAGATAGTGAAAGCATCGCAAGTGAGTAGAAACCATAGTCTAATATGAATGTTGTGATTTTACTTGTAGATCTAACATACCACAGGAATAGGTAATAGAATATGATAGTGAACTTTGGTACAAAGTATAAAGAGGTCCGTGTTCTCAAAAACAATAAGGAGGCAAATTCATTGACTGTAACTAACCTTTAGAAATCTAAATTAATTGATACCCAAAAAAATTATCTTCCAGCCCATATGGAACTTGAGCTTTAAATAATAAGTAGCTTCCAATAAAAATGGAGGACAAGTAAATGAAATAAATCAGGAATAGCATTAAAGTAAAAGCTATGATTAGTTATTTCTTTGAGCGTTGTGTTCTATCAAGAATATTTAAATATAGTCCTATCCAGGGGAATGCTCGTGCCAAAAATATTGGGAATATTTGTCTATTTCCAAAGAGATAAGATACTTCAACTAGAATTGATAATGATAATAATATGTTACGCATAATGATGATGATGACTGGAGCACAAATAATTGTGATTTTAATATAGAGTGATGAAACAGCTGAGGAGATGAACAACCCTAAAGTGATGACAACAAATTCCCATAAGTTTTGAGACACTTTTTGAGTGTAATTTTGAGCTACATCTTACTTTTATCTCCAATGGAAAGTTTGATTTGTAGAATTATTTTTCACATAAATATTTGAATTTATTGAGTAGGCAACATCATGCAAGAATACAGTTTCTAAATTAGTTGCTTAAGAAAGCAATGCTTAAAGGTGACTCTCAAAAAAACTATTGTAATCTACATTAATGTTGATAATTGTGAAATTGTGCTATTAAAGTAGTTCTGTTTTTAAGTGCAATAATTCAGGGGTGCTTGAATATTTCATTGTTAGCAATGTGTTATCACCATCAACTATTGTATAATGGTAGAGATAATCCCTATGATTTTGATCAAATTCGACTTAATTAATATTCCTGGTACTCAATCCCCAAAGTATAAGCAAATTTATTGATGCCATACTTAGCAAAATCGTGCTGCAAATATTTGTGAATTAAGGAACATATTAATGAGTCAAAATTCGTTCTTGAACCCTATATAAAGTTTTCTCTAATTCCATTTAATAATTTAATTTATCATTCATAATACATTATACTCACAATCCAAAAAAGTACTTAAGGAAAAGAATTTATATATACTTATCATAGAGTTTTTCCAATAATTTAAAGATAAATGGAGCAATTCAAAAAATCATAAGATTGATCAAAAATAAAAATGAATAGTACAAGTGTATATTTATATTTAGTAATATATATAACTTATAATATTCTAAATTTAATGAGACAAACACCATTTTAAAATGCTGGTCAACAAAGTTTCAATAATCCTGCAATGCAAATGGTATCTCCACCTTCATAACTAAATTCTTTTATGAATGATTACGATTAATTAGTTAGACCAGGCGAAACGACAAATAGAAGACCAAGGTCAAGAGAGTTGGATATGATGAATTTGTTACTCATTGGCAGCATGAATAAAGGAGATAAAAGAAGTGGTCTAGAGGGTCTAGATTAGTTTTTGGGTTCTCCTAATACAACATAATAATCAATGACAACTACCAATAGTTTAGCCAATTTTGGTTAATAGTTACTAGGGTAACCTTTTGGAATGAGTCCATTCGATCCCCTCATGCCAAACTCATAGCCAAGGGATTAAAGATCTATGCCAATAATGCCTATGCCTTAACAATTTCCTATGCAATAACCACAATTTCCTATGCAATAACCGTAATTCCCTATGCAGTAGCCATAATTTCCTTTCCAATAACCATAATTCCCAATGCAATAACCATAACTCCCTTTTTAATAATAGTAATTCCCTATGCAATAACAATAATTTCCTCTATAACCACCATAACTTCCATTCAATTAGCAATAATTTAATACACCAAACCATTAGATCAAAAATTAAGAGAAGTTGCTAATTAATGGACAGATGGGTGTGACTGTGAATTAAACAACTCAACAACCTCCTGAATTGCAAGAACAACCAAAAAATAGGATAATTGATTACATTGCGAGATAAAATGAAGTACTGGAAAAGTTAACAAAAAACATGGCAACATAGAGGGAGAAGGAGAGTTAGGATGAAAAGCAGAAGCTTTTGGAGAGAATGAAGAAATTGGAGGCTTAGAATGCTTAGGATGCCTTTTATAATGATATGTACGATGAAGTACCTCCTCATATGAGATAAGGTTAATAATTTAAACCTCCTCCAGGTTATTAGTATCAACCTTATTTTTAATAATAGAATTTATATTAACAATAATTTCCAACGATGCCCTATCCTGAAAAATAAAAATCAAAGTAGTAAACATTGTAAATGTTGAGAATGTTAAAGCAACTTGTAATAAAAACAATTTAAATTTAAGAAAATAACAAATCAGAGAAAGAAGAACAAAAAGAATAAGAAATAACTAGATTTGGAGGAAATTATTAATGATCAAGCAGAAGTGGATTCGTTTACAAGTGAAGAAAGCGATCCAGAACCTAGAATAATATAAAAGCCAAGAGTACTAAAACCAAGGCCAATTCCACCACCTCCCACTTACGATCCTAAAGATGACGAAATCCAATTAAAAAAACTAATAAAGTATTATTTTATTTCTAATATCAGAAATCGAGGAAAGAAGAAATTATATTTGCGCTTCATAATGCTATTTTTTTATGTTTGGAAATACTGGGATATGAAAAAGATAATTTAAGCCAAGAAACAGTATGTTAATAAGGAGGGACCTGAGATTCTCCAAAAGTTCATGGATGATTCTCAAAATTTATTTGTTAGAGTGTTGAAAACTACTATTGATGAGCTCCTTCTACCCAATTTAAATATTTAGGTAGTCCCAAAACCTAAGCAGAAGATTTCACCCAATCAAATGAATCAGAATATCAAAAAATTAAAGGAGCTATTGAAAAAAGTATTTGATGGTGTGACTGATAATGCTAATGAAACTGATTTTACAGAGAATATGTTAATTTACTTGAACAGCATCACATGCGAATATGCATATCTAATGGACAGTTAACATTTAAAGTTCGAAATCAATAGATTGAATTTCACATATCATGGATCTTTGAAAAATATGGAACAAAAGAAGTAATTCATGATGATTGTGGTTTCAATGATAGTGAAGATCTTATTATATAGGTTTTTAAGTAAAGCACAATATCTGGCTTAAAAGGCCAACGTCACTGACCAAACCAAAATCAATATAAAGACCTTAACCTCTGTTGTTTATGAGATCTTTTTATTGTATATTAGAGGAGCAACTGCCATCTAACCGAATAATACAAAGGATTTGCCTATAGAAAATGTGGTGAAAGAGAAGAAAGATATGTATTACCAACTTGAGGGTTTTGAAGCAACAGAAGAGGAAAAAGCCAAGTTAGAAGAAGCAAAGTAGAAGGCCAATTCCAAGGATGAGAGGATAGATGAACCGATGTTATATCCCATCTATAGTGGTAGAGAAATGGCAGCTTTGTATTTAAATTATGTATATTGATAGTTTTGACGCAGAACGACAATATGTCTCAACGCTTCAATAGATGGTCGAGGGTTGGTGTGAGAAGGTTTGCAATATTCTGCAAAATTACAGAAACGACAAGGAGGCCAAAAGGAAGGAGGAACTGAAAAAAAGGAGGGAGTCAATCAACAATTCTCTTGCGATTAAGAGAGATAGAGTGAATAAAATAATTTAATTAAATAAACAAAGAGAAGAATAGATATCATAAGAGATAGAGGAGCTCACGAATAAGATTGCCGAGAGCAGCGAAAATGCAAAACGGGCTAAAGAAAATTATGATTAAATGCAGAGGTAAAGGGAGGAGAGACATAACAATATGCTGTTGGGGCCGAGGAATATGGGTTAATAAATGCCTAATCAATAAGATGGCCAATATGGATAACCAATGAGAAGATAGTTTTGATTTATTTTGATTATTTAATTCTAATATATATTTATAGTTCATATGATGTTCGAATGTCAAGTTATTAGGAAACACCTACTCATAGACAAATATTATTAACTACAACTCTATGAGGATCGAATCTTAATTGGGCAAGAAGTATTCATCTACATTAATCTTAAGAATAGGCACCCAGCGAAATACGAGATAGCTTTAAATCTAACTAATCGCATAAGTTGGAAATTAAATGAGAAACAAGAGATCATCGAATTTGGAATCAAATACAATAGTAACACAAAATGGTTTGCAGGTAAGCATGAGAATTTTTAGAAAATAAAGCAATTGCTTACTAATAAAATATATAATCACAGTATATCCAGTTTTTATCAGTCATCTGAGTTAATTGGATCAGGAGCTTCCAGCAAAGTCATCACTATATTGGATTAGAGTAAAGTTAAATATGCTGCAAAATGTATAAGCAAAGATTACATCACTAAAAAGAAGACTCCAGATCGTTTAAATCGACTTATAAGTGAAATTACCATCCTAAGATCTTTGTTGAATCATCAAAATGTGATTTAATTGCTCGATATATTTGAAGGTGAGTCTACCTATTATCTAATTTTTGAATATCTCCAAGGAGACACACTTCACAAATTCCTCAAATCACAATCAAAACCTCTCTCTGAAGAGATGATTCGCACCATCTTGGCAGTAATTCATATTTCATAATTTAGTAACTACTTCAAGGAATTCAATACATTCATTCAAATAACTACATTCATAGAGATATCAAATTGGAAAATATTGTATTATCCACTAAACAATGTGTTCAAAATTTGAAGATTATTGATTTTGGTTTGGCCATCTCCTCCACAGTATTCACACCTTTTGCCATCTGTGGAACCCCAGGGTACATAGCACCTGAAATCCTTCAATACAAAGAATCCAGTTAGGGATAATTTCGATTCACATCAAAAGTTGACATGTTTGGCATTGGTGTTATGCTCTACAGAATGTATTACACCAATTTTTAATTATTCTTAGGATGACTAGGAAGTCACTCTTCGATTCAGAACACACCAAAGAATTACTTTCTCTTAATCGAAAATGTCAATTGCCTAAATTCTCTATTTCTGGATACTCTAATGAATTGAATAATCTTTTGTTTGGACTACTTGAATCAAACCCAATCAAGAGGTTATCATCAGAGGAGGCATTGATAATCATGAACATTACCCAAATGACTCAGGAATTGCAATTCTCCTAATTCACAACTTTTCAATATGATTAAGATGATTTTGAAGTCGAACACTCTATAGATTATGCTAATGCACCTTATCAATTCCCTAATAAATTCCTGAAATATGAATTGGAAAACAGTTTCCATTGCAATGAAGATCATAAGCATTCAAGCTTGCATAAATCGTTCAAACTTTCATTCAGTCTAAGATTAAGTTAGGAAATTCCCAAATAAGACTTTATTATTGAAGACTTTCAAAATGTACCCTCATGAAATTTTCAATTCTATATCATTTTTTTACAACAATATTTTTGTAAGATAAATACTTCATTAAACATTATGAAAATCTTTAATTACACCATAAATTAATTTTATTTATGCAAATATAATCATTAAATAAATATTATTCAAATCATTTAGAAAGTTGATCCTAAACTTTATTCTTCTCCAATATTCTTTTACATATAGAACTTGCTATTAAAATTGACCCACAGATACTAAGAAATGATATATGAGCACCTCTCAATATATCAAATAAGTAGCCGTATATTAATTAGGTTTGACCAAGCATTGCCATCTCTGTTAAATTCCCTTTCATATAAGCTCTATTCATCAATAATTATTATAAATATGAAACTATTCCAATCAAGCACAATTTAATCAAATCGCCTACACTTGGTACTCTCCATATCATATCTGGATTGCACGTAGCCAAAAACGAGGAAAAAATGATTGAAGTTATACTAAAATATTGTGGTATCACCAATTGATTGACCTATTGATATTACGTGATTTTAGTACATTATGTGATAAGTTTTTTATCAGCACTTAAACAAGAGAAAATAACATTGAAGACAGGAGCAAAATTAAACATCCCAAAAATTAATTTTGTTTTTCATCTGCAATTTCATACTCACCCGCTAATTTCCTTAAAAATGGAGGTTGCACTAATAAGATAATGCCCATAAAGCAAAACAAAAAATTAAGCACCAGTCTCCATGAAAATTATTCTGTTTTTAAAATATATATGCCCAAGATAGTAGTCCAAAATGATGTAGTTTACATTAGTACTTAGGCTTCAGAAATATTCACATAAAACAATCCTGTATAGAATAACAGAGTAGCAAAGCATCCTATAAGACTTCTGAGGAGCAGCTTCTAATAAATTCCAGCATCAAACCCATATAAATTTATATTTTACTATTGTGTAACTAATTTTCCAATTATACACACAATTATCCCTCTCCCAAACACTATTTGGTTTGCATTCATTCCCAAAGTTTTACTTAACAAGGAATTTATAGAACTAAGTAGTATTCCTGTCATTACATAGAAAATAGGAGCACTTCTGATCCATTTTGATTCAAGATATTTTGTAAAATACTCAATCTATGTAACTATATATTCCATCTTCGTTGTCGACTCAAATTATTATATTTAAAGAAAAAGTGATTTATTTAATGATTTGGAAAATATCAAATTAAAGATGAATAACTGTTTACTATTAATTCAGATTTATGATAATAAATCAAATTGGAATTTTTTAATCAAACCACAACATACTTAGACTAATAGAAATTTATAGACAAAATATCAAAAATTCTATTGTGTAATTTGAAAAGATATACACTATCTTGTTCTAAAAATTTGGTTTATTCTCCTCATATCCATAAGACTTTTCAATCAGATACAAACCCAATTGATCATAGGTTAATCGAAATCAAAATTATTTATTTCTTTTATAATTGCATTAATAAAATTAATGAATAGAAATTTATCTGTTAATTTATATAAATTATTCTTTTTAAATTATTTTATGGCAATAATCAATATTTTTCTTCTTAAAAGACGGAATATGATTGCTGTTTTTTTCAGCTCTTGAGTATATCTAGATTAATGATTTTTGATGATGTAATATTTCCAAATTTTTGGTTTTAAATGACGAATCATACGGTTAATAATTGGCATTGTAGAATCTTGGATATTATTATTCAAATCCATTAAAAAAGATTAGATAATGATATTCATATTTATGAACTATATATTAAATTAAATTTATATATATGAGTTCTCAAGACAGCGATTCAGAATATCAAGAGTTTGTTACTAACTTTTACGATTTAGTTCAAGACATAAATGAATGTAATGATTATCAATAGTAATTTAGTTTATGCTGCCAAATCCAAAGAAAGTAGAACTGCTAAATTTCTAAAATAAGCAAAAGCGCGAAGAAGTATAAAGATTTCTGCACCTTAATATAGAAACAAATCAAATCACCTTTCGAATGCCAGAGAATCCAGATCAAAATGTTTCCGAAATCATCTCTTACAATAAAAATTAAGCAGAGAAATTAGTTAAACCTATGAGACATCAAACGAAAAATTTAGAAAATTCCCAAGTAGAACCTTACATTTTCAATGTTCATTTGATTCTCAGGTAATTACCATTTTCCTATTGCAGGGATCTGAAATTGAAATAGCAAATACTCAGAAATGCTTAGAAATAAGTATATTTGAATTTGATTGAATATAACAAATAAAAGACAAAGAAATCAAAACCTAGAAATTGTTGTTTACATATGTATATATCCTCTTACATTTTTTATCATTAGATACTTAGCTGAGAAAATCTATTAAGAGAAATTGAAAGAAGCAGCCACATGCAAGAAATTCCAAGAAGGCCCTAAGATAGTCATTCCTCTATTGAAGAATCCAGAATAAACTAGAAAGGGAAGTATGGAATGAATATACAATTTTGGTTTAATTCTCTATTTGTAAATTTAGGTTTAGTATAAACATCTTGTTTTATTGTTAAATTTAAAATTTAATTAGGCCGTGTTATATTATGTAAGACAAAGAAAATCAATATCCTAAATCTAAGGCAATTGCCAATAACATATCTGTAGCTCTGTGTACTTTCTTTTCATTTACATATATATATTATCTACCATCCACTTCCCAATCCAATTATCCTATTACCTTTTATACAGGTTCATCTTTCCCTTTCTTTACATTTTTTTTATCATCCTTCTTTTTAACATCCTTTCCCTTCCCCTTACTTTGCTCTTTCTTTTAATCAATTAACGCTTGTTAAGCTTTCCTCTCCTCTAACTCCGCATCCTTTTCTTTCTAAATCATCTCCATCTTAGCCTATACAAGTTCCTATTCATTTTCTAAGGGAAACCAATGTTCAGCCGAAGTTTTCGTTTCTTCCTTAAATATTCGATATTTTTTATTAAATTATTTATTGTAACCTCTTAGCCAATCACAAGTAATTTTACACACTCCCAAGACTCTTATCTATTATTCAGGTAATTCATCTTAGCCCAAGACTGGCTTCTTTTCTCCATCTTCTGCCTATACAATTAATCTTAATTTATACTATATACATTTTTGGTTCCTCAACTGATACTGAAACTAAAAAGCCCTACTCTACTGCATCCCTAATGTCAACTTCAGGGTTATAAAATTGTTCAAATGAAAATTCAAAATCTATTCTGCCTATTTCATTCTCAATTGTTGCTGTTTCATATAATACTTCCTTAGTCTTTAATTCAACTCCAAATAAATTAGTTGAAATAACATATTTACTTTAAAACAATTTATTATTTTGTTCCATCAGAGGGTAAGTATACTTATCCAATAGAATTCCTTCTAGATTCTCTAAAGTTTATATTTTTAAGGAAATCTTGAATTATCTCAATTCATTTAAATTGATTTTAGGTTCATCAATTGGTATTATAACTTAAGGTTATGGAACTACAACTGGGTCAGGTTGCTTACCTGGTTTTCCACCTTTTTTATTTTTATCAGCTAATAGTTTTTGTTATAGTTCTAATTCCTCCTATTGCTTCCTCAAGGCTTCCTATTTTTTGGCTTATTTTTCCTTTTCTGCTTATTCCAACCTATTTTTAATCTCTAGAAAACTCTATTCATCAAAATTTCTCAAATTTAATAGGTTATCAACTATATATATAAAGTATTAAGGCATTAGCACTAATGGATTGCCATAGAGGGAAAGCATTTTTAAATTGGATATTTTTTTACATGCTTCTACTGAATATTCTAAATCACAAAGTTAATTGTGAGCCAAATCCAAGCCGATTAATTAGGGTAAGAATTTAGGAATAGTTTGTATTGCATCATCATTCAATAAGCAATATCCTAAGCCCAAGTACTGAAGGTTATGTTTTAATAAATTCAATGTTGTAATTGGATTATTGAAGAGATGCAATTCCAATAATTATTGGGGTAAATGTTGGACAGTTTCAATTTTGTTATGATTTAATCGTAATAATTACAAGTTTTTGAATTGTAACAATTGATTATCCATCAATGTTATATCTTCAGAATCAAATACTATATTGGTATATGTTTCGATCATATATTCCTTATTGCAAATAAAATCAGCAAATCCATTTTCAGAGATGTTTTTGTAAATCTTTTCATTATCTGGGGACCTACATTTTCACTCATTAATTACCATTGTGTAACTTAATCTAAATTGATATTCATTTCATCTTCAGTCAATTCATATAATTTAAATTGCTTCAATGGCTTTTTTTCTAAGAGAATTTCCATTCTCATATCTTCTCTCACTTTTCTCCAGAAAACAATAGAAAATTGATTATTTTGCATTTGACTACAATTGATAATAATTATTATTTATGTAATTTATATAAGATAGTATAATTCATTATTATTTACGTAATGAGGACTGTCGATTTGATGAGCGAATATATGCTTAATATATATTTTTGGATGCCTATTCTTAAGGTCCAATTGTTTATCCACTATATGCAGATTCTAGATTTTAATATTTGTGTAATAGTTCTTAAATTGTATTCTCCTTTTGTGTAATGATATTTTTGGAATCCTTGTTTTCCTATTCAAGAATTCTGATCTAAGTGTTAAAGGCTGCCTTCAAATTCTCTATTTGATAATGATGTGACTGTTCAAGTTTGCCTCTCAAGTCTTCTCTTTCTTTCAGTTTATCTCTTTCCTATAAAACCAATCTCGTCTTCAATTATTCAATTTCATCAATCAAAGCCTTGAATTCTCTTTCTGGTATCTATTTGATCTGGGAATCAGTTAATTCCTTTTGTTTTCTCAACTCCTAATGCATAATCTCAATCTTGTTTTCTAATCCTCGAATTTTGTCTTTCAAAATGTATTCATTTTATTGCAATTTGACCTTCCATTCTTCCTATTCAAATGAAGCTATCTTTTCTAATTCTTTAATTTATTCATTTAAAGTTTAGTTTTATTGTCTCAAATGTTATAGATCTTCCTCCAATGCCTACTTTATTAAAATAAACTATTAGATTTGAGTTTCCACTTCCTTATTCTTTACGATCTCTTTTTCTGATTATAATTACAATTCATTCTCCAACTTCACTACTTGTTTCTTATAAACATTTTCAATTTCTATTGATGATTGTTTAGTCTACAATAGTTCTGACTCAACTTATTGTAGATCCTTCAATTTTGCTTATTCAAGTTATGCCAATCTCTATTTCAAAATCTCATTATCCTTTTTTAGTAATTCAAATTATCTCTCATAATTATCTCTTAATTATGTCTTTTCAGTGATCAAATCTTAGATTTCCTTTGAATAATTTTCATTTTTCTTCTGATAAGTAGCAATCTCTTTTTCCAAAGTAAAAATGCTTTGCTCGTAATTCTTACTAAGAGATTACAAACTAAATTTTTATTCATCCAACAACTACTGTTATAATTGAGCTAATTGATCTCGATGCATGATCTCTTGTTTTTAATATTTAGATTTCTAACCATCAAATTAAGCGTTTAATTCAATGATCTAATTTTCATAAGAAGCCTTTAATTTCATATTTTATTACAGCAATGTTTCAATTTCATTATTTTTAATTTCCAATAATCCTCTTAATTTGTCGATCTCTGATTCCACAACTGAAATCTAACTTTGATGAGTCTTTCTTAGGTTGTCCAAATTCTAAGAATGGAATGTCTCTATCTTAAATCTCATTTATTCTAACTCTCTATTAAATATAATAATAATTTGATACTTCTATCTTTCCAACTCAATTTGATTTATCTTATGTCTCAGATTGTCATTCTCATTAAGAAGTCTTTATGATTCATTTTCATGTTCCGATCTCATCCTCTACAATTTACTCACCAAATCATCAATCTCTAAATCCTTGTCTTGTAATGTTTCTCTAACTAATTACTTATCATTCAATCGTTTCTCATATTCAAATTGATCTATCTTATCCAATAATCTTTGAACTTCCTTTGATAATTGTTACAATTCCAATTCGTAATTGTTCCTCATCTACATAGTCTAAGAAAGTTATTGTTCATATTTCTGTTTCCATAACTCAGCTTCACTTCTCTTCTATATCATTTATTTTGTCGTTTTCTCTAATTCTACATGCAAATCGTTATTAAATTATGTATCTGCCTTTCCACTGTGTGTCAAAACGTTGCTAAATCTAACATCCATTCTCTGTAATTAAGCTTCCAGATCTCGAATTCTTTGTCTATATGGTTCGACGTCATCATACTGTTTATAACCACTCATGTCTGTTAAATATTAATATTAATAATAAATCCATTTTATTTCAATAGTAAATATCAAAAATTGTAATTTTAATGATAAGTATTATTTCTTGAATAATTGAATACTTTAAAATATAATTTTTTCAAAATAGAATAAAATTTAAAAATAATACATTATTTTTTCCATTCAATTTAGTTACACTAGAAAATGAATTAATACTCACCTTAGTAAGTATAAATGAGAGAAATGACATAAAATTTAAGCTCATAAATTCTTTAGTTTTTATAAAAACTGAACTAATTCACTTGGGAATTATGCATGCGCTGTCTCTAAACTTAGATCTTTCAAAGATTAACAGCTTTCGCTGATAATTACTATCAACATCTTAAAAGTTTTCAAACTACTTGAAATAAAAGTTTTGAAATCTAATTACTCGCTAGAATCTATTTATTGTTCTAATAAGAGTAGAGTTTCACAATCTTATTCAGATATTTTATCTGAGAACTCGTCAGATATTAATTATGATAAAGAATAATTATGATTCTTAATGCATATCTTTCTCTTGAGCTTCTCAAGACTTTCTATTCCAGATTAAGTAATTGCGAAGATGAATCCATCAGTTATACTCATAATTAAATTTGTTATGAAATTTATCAAATCTAAATAGAAGTTTTCTACTTTAAGGATGGTGAATAAAGTATATTGATTCAATTCTGTATTCTGAATCAAGAAGACTTTGATATCTTTGGGTTGTCTGAGAATCTAATTCACTTTTTGATTAGTCTGATTTTTCTTCTCAATCATTTGAGTGTTATTAATTCCTAGAGTTGCAATGAAAAATCGAGGTACGCTCTCCGATACTTCTTCAATGTTTGTGAACTCTAACTATTTTGAAAAGGTAATAATATTAATCATCTGTTTATATATTTTCACAGATAATAATATAAAAAGATATAATCAAAATTTCATGATAATTCTTTCATAAGTGAACTTTTATGGCAACTAAAATTAGTGAAGTAGTATTAGTTTATATATATATATGTGATATTTGAATTTGGATTTAAAGTTGTGAGGATTGGGGTTTTACGTGAGTTTCTAATTGTCTAAAGTTTTATTTGAATTATTTGCTTAATTTATACTACAAATGGGAATTCAAATATTAAGTAAAATTTTAATAAAGGCTGATTATTTTGTATCTATCCCTCAGTTTATAAAGTAGAGTGATTTGATGGAACTGTGAAAGAGCTTGGAAGATTATTAAAATGTTTAGTTGCTCCTGAGATTTACAGTGATGTTAAATATTTTACATGGGGATTTTATTATAAAACTTCTATGTGTCTTAAAATATTACAAGAAAATAAAAATAATTATAATAAATGGATAAGCAGTCTCGTTTAAATTAGGAACAGATTCTATAATGTATCAGGAATCATAGAGATTTGAATGAAATCTTGACAAAATAAAAAGATCATAGTTCACAAGAATTATTCGATGACATTGACAAAGCAACCATGAACCAATCTAACGAAAGTAAGTAAAGCTAAGAGAGCAACTCGAATAGCGATAAAATTGATAGGGCCATATAGATGTTCACAGGTAAAGCCAATAAGCATGAAATATCAATAGAACCTAAAGTTATATTATATGCAAAATAGGATAGTTTGTCATAAGACCAGATGATGGAGTAAATTTCTGAAGTTTTTAATAATAAATCGTTTGACTAAAAAGTGGGTTCGAATCTATCCACCGAGATCTCAAATGAGCCTTGTTTGTAATTGGGATCATCCAGCTAATCTTTGTTTACGAGTGGTTCGGAAACTGAACGAAGGAAGAGGAAAACCATATCGGAAGAGGAATCACATTACTTTGTGGTAAAGATTGACCGAGTTATGAATTAAACAGATGAGAGAACAACGATAATGATAAAAAACATTCCTAATAAATATACAGTGCAAATGCTTTAAGATTTAATTGATCATAGACACGACAATTATTATGACTTCCTCTATCTCCCAATAGACTTTAAGGTATTTCAATAAGATTGCTATCCCTTAGAATAAGTGCAATATGGGGTATGCATTCATCAACTTTGTACATCCATATTACATAATTTAATTTTATAAAGATTTCCACGATAATGGATGGCCTCATTTTAACAGCGAGAAAGTAAACTTAACTAATATTAGCAATAGATATGTGAATTACGATATGCCAGAATTTAGGGACGCTAAGCTTTAGTGTAGCATTTCCAATTTTCAAGTGTGATGAACTAAAAGGTTATAAGCAAATCAATTATTGTAGGATAAGAAACTCAAACCAGTAATAGTGCCTTAAAGTGAATTATCAAGGATTCACCAATTAATTTAAGTAAATCACTAAACTATCATTTAAGCGATAAAAATAATGATGCAGATGATATCTATATTTTTTACCTTTTTTTGGTGTTTTTTAATATATAATTAACTAATCAATAATTGTTTGTAGCTTTTCCTGGATTCAAAATATTAAAAGTTTCGATAGATCTAACAGCATTTAATTGTTTTGCGAAATCAGCTAATGTTGGTTTATATTGACTTCCTCTTAACATGAGCACAGAATCCTTCCCACTTCCCACTATGCTCTCAGTCATCTTACCTTTAGCCTTGAGTAATTTGTTAAGCATAGATTTGATCTCAGTTTTCAGTTCATTTGCTGTTTATAAGTTGGTATTTTCGATTTCATTCTAGATATATATATCTACAAATTGTACTTTAGTAGTTTTTAATTCTTTAGTCAATTATTTCAATTAGATTGCTAAATTCTGTCTTTCCTAAGGTGAAACACTTTCTATTTAAGTGCTATATTCTTTGAGGAAATCAGTGTTAATTTCCATGACATTTGAGTTGCGACAATTCAATATCTCTGGCTTATTCTAATATTTGGATCGTTATTTAGTTATTTCCCTGCTTGTATTTTGGCTACAAGTTCTACTCTTCACACTTACGATACACCCAAATTAATTATCTCCAACATTTTCTTTATTAGTTTGGCATTCAATCTTTTTTTTCAATTCCTAAACCTTCTCTTAGTGCAATTGGTTTTTCTACTGATAAATGGATTCCAATTATTGTATTTAATATTTGAGTTCGGTATTTTCATTTTCTAATTTCATCATAGCAATTGAACTCTTCTTCTTTGCTTCAATAAGTTCTCTTGAGTACTCTTCTAAAGTGCTCTAGATTTCCTTGTACACTTTACACTACAATATAATTAATCTTAACTAATTACATTGGTTCTTCCTTCCCCTTAATTCCAAGCCTGCATAATCGTATCATTAAACTTCTTCTGATGCTCCTCTCTTTCTTTTATCTCTTGAATTTGCATGTATAGAAATTGATTTCTTTATTCGAGCATTGCTTTTTCATTTTTCCAATCGTTGAGAGACATAATTTTAAATTAATTAACGATATAATCACACTTTCTTAATTTTTAATAACTTTGACCCGTAAAATCCCAACAATCATTCATTCATTACTGATCAGAGTCAACCAAGAGTAAATTAAAGAATAAGTCAACCTAAAAGTTACATTCATTAAGAGTAACATTTCAAAATATACGAAATTATTTCTGCTTAAATGTAAATGGACAGTTTATACAAAAATAATTATTATCAATGATGGATTTGAAGAATCAATTAATAAAATATGTATAGAAAAGATTCGATGTTATTAAATATAAAATTTAGGTTAATTTTAATTGAATTGATTTCTAAAAATATTATTATCTTTAATATTCTAGTTGTTAGTATATTATCTCTCCTCTTGTTGGAATTATAACTAAAAGTAATATTGGCAGAATGATAAATCTGGAACCTGAGGATCTAAATATTAAAAATATATTAATCAAAAGTTATTCCCTAATATAGAGAGTTAAACTAATAAAGAATGAGGATGAGATATAGAAGTAGTATTTTTTTTATTGTATTAATCAAATTTAATGATATTTAATTACTATTAAACTTATCATTTTTTAAGATTTTTTGATTTCTATTAAGTTTCAAACATTTATTATGATAGACTAGTAATTTAAGATCCTTAAGTTTTGAGAGGTTTGTCTAATTATTAAACATTTGGAGACTTAAAAAATAACGTTTTTAACTTAATTTAATCTAGTTCGCTAGGATTTTTACCGTGCAATCTGGAAGTCAAGCATTGCCTTTGTAAAGGTGAATGAACTCTTTGCCTTTGAAGTTTTATTATTTATTGTTTTCTAATAATTATTATTATAAGTATTACTATTCTACAACCACATCTGCAAGTTTAGACAATGCCAATTCTATATTCTTAATCTTTTCAGTATATTCACAACATTTTTTTAAGGTCGTAATTTCAATTTGACTGCTCATCACCTTGACTTTATTTCCCATTCGCATCATCATGCTATTGATTTATTCTATACTTTGTTTTCTAGTCTCTTTGATGAAAGTCATCAATGCAATTTCCAATTAATCTAACAAAGATCTGACTGAAGCTTCATCTTCTTAAATAGGAATATTGAATTATAATAATAATCCATTCAACGATTCTTTGTAACTCTCGATTTCTTGAAAAAAGCTTTAGTTTTATTTCTAAGATTATTCAAACTTTTATTTTAATTTCATATAATCTTTCTTTAAGTTTTCATTTTGTTACTTTAGTTAATCCATAGTTTACCTGTTATTAATGGTCATATTAGTATTTGTAGTAGTCACATTTTATTATTTTACATCATAGTTTGTATTAGTGATGTTGCGTTACTTTTATCTTAAGACATCATGGAAAGTAACGTATTTGCTAGATTTGGGATCATAAAATTATGGTAATTGCTTATTCAAAGGAGAGAGAGACTTAGTATATTTTTTTTATGTCATTGTTTAAGGTTAAAGGTCAGATTACTTTTCACTGGCCTATTCATCAAACAAATCAATGTCATCAATCTATTAATTTCTCTTTTTGTATATTTCTGATTGGGTATATATTTGTTCTGATCTACAATGGCAATTTTCTAATTATAATAATTCTATATACTCTCAACAACATTTAATATTTTTAATTGTAATCCTTCGAACACTGGATTTCCAAACAAATTTATGATATTGATTTTGGATTAAGTTTCTAAATAATGTACTTCAGCTACATTTTTCAAGTCATTGCACTCCAAATCCACCTCAATTAACTAGGGCAAGTTCCTAAGTTATTCAATTGTTTTAATCTACAATATCCTTATATATCTTACTTTGTTATTCTTCAGAAATAGATGAGTTAATTGGGTCAAATTACTAAACCAATGAACACTCTATAATAAATTGTTAGATAAATCAATCAACTTCAAATTTTTGAGATGAGAGATATCTAATAATTATGCTATGATTTCAATACTTGATAAATTTTAGAGCAAATTATTGTTGATTTCCAATGTTATTAGAGACGAAGGTAATAACCACATTTGTTCAATGTTATTGAATGACAAGTTGAGATGCTAAACCTTGAGTTATTGGATGTAGGATTGCTCGCCCTTGAAATTATTGCCTTATAAATTTATAATTGTCTTTAAGCGAATAGGATAAGTAATTACGTAATTATTTAGATTTAAGGACTAATCTAATATTTCGAGGTTCTTAAAGGATAGATCAATACTCATTTAATGGCACCAAATTTAAAATTTAAATATAATTAAGCATAATCAATAATCGCAAGGTATAATATTTCTCTTACATATTGGCTAACATATTCTATTGCATGACTTATTAATTCATTGATGTAGTTGTAAGATTAAATAGGAAGTTGTTTCAAAAGCTATTTAAAAATAAATATAGATATATTCATATGTCTCTGATTTCTACTAAATTGCACAAATATATTACAATATATTCTACAGAAATTGTTTTAGAGCATATGAGTTTAAAATTAGTTTCTTCTATTTACAATGATTCACAAAATACAGCTAGTAGATTATTTTCATCTATTAATTTTCAAGACTTCATTTATATAAAGATACCTAGGCAATCTCTCAAGTAGTTATTAGTGAATAGATTTCTTCTTAATGTTGGATAATGAAAGAGTCCTCACATACAATGTTCATTATTGTTATAATTTTTATTTAAAATATTCTTATAACACTTCTTCATATCGCTTTGGTTTCTCATATTTGGACTATCTATTACTGATGTTTCCCTTCAAAGTTTCGAGTTTTAATTTAATTCTGGCATTCTCTTTTTTGATATCTTCTTCTTCTTGATTTCTTTTCTTTAATCTCGGCAAAGAAACACTCGTCTTATCAATTGAAGGGCTGCTCTAATGAATTCTCTCAATTGTTTGCTTTATTTTTTAGTTTGAAATTGCCAGTTATTATTTATATTGTAACTGCTCAAAGTGATTGACTCTTTATTTATACAGTTTCATTGATAATGCTTCAATAAGTTAAAATCATTACATAATTTGACTAGAACTTTTGATTCTTATATATTTTGATTCTTCCTTCCCTTAATCGCTTTTAATGCATTCATATGTCCAAGAAAGTAAGCTTAATACATACTATCATTTAATTAATTCGTTTGTTTCATATATAAGAAATGAATTTTAATATTAATTATTTTAGAATCGGTAACGTTTTTTATGGTACATACATCTATTAGATTTGCTCTGAATCGAAGTATCCAATCAAATCCCTATTTCTACTATCAGTGTGTAACACCAAATTCTTTTTATATGGATGTTCATCCTCAGTTTAGATTCTTTCACAATTCTTGCCATATTGAGCACATATATCACATTCAGATGACTATAATTTAAATGTTAACTTTCCTCCGATCATTTTCATTTTGATATAATTCCTTTCAATCTTTTATCTGAACATTTCCAAATTGAAATCATCTGATGAAGGACTCTTATGTCTTGATTCCTAAGTTCTTCTATGATACATAACAATTTATTAGATCCCTATGTTTTTGATATGATCATTCTATTACAATGTTCCATCAAGGTATCTATTCATAAATATAACAGACATTTCCATATCTTAAATGCCATTATATCCCTTTGATATCAGATAGTAGGCTTTCTCTTCATACTCTTGCTCTGAATAATACCAACTTAACTTTAATAATTTTTTACCAATTATTAATAACTTTTCAAATTATTTTGATCTATTTAAGAGCAATCCAATTCTATAATACACCATCATTTTACATTAAAATAGCTAATGTTTGTTTGCTGTATCATTCATATATTTGTATTATTACAAAGCTCCTTTAGTGTGTCCATAACTTTCTTGAATAATTGCTATGAGAAATGTAAATAATAATCCCAAAGTTACACATTAGGATTTGCACTTATTTTAGAGAACAATTAAATAGATTTCCAATCGATCATAATCAGAGCCCAACATATTCATTAAATCAATAGTGAGATTCAGTACATCCTGAGCTTTGGTAGAATTATGCTTTAATGCAATGGCTAATTTATCTAGTTCGGAGACAACAGAGGTTAGTAAGATTTTAGTAGATTATTTAATAGATTGAATTTCAAGCATATTATTTGGCTATGACATTTTCATAGGCGAACGTTGAAATCGTATTTGATGAGTGCTTCTTTTCACTCTACCTTTGATATAATAATTAGATTCTAAACGAGGGAGAGTAGCGTCAGTAGTTGTATTGATGGTAGTAGAATTTATCGATTTTATTGAGAGATTCGAGATGATTCTTTTCCTATCTGAATCCGTGGATAATCTGGTATTTTTTCGCATAATTTTTATTATGTAATATATTTATCAATAATATTTAGTAATAAAGCATAATATTTTCAAGGTGAAAAATTCTCCCAAGGGGAAATATCTACATTGATCGCTCTTTCAAAATTAGTAGTTCTGTTGATCTTTTTGTAATTCCTTTGTTTGGGTTTTGCAGTTCTTGACTTGGAATCCATTTTCAATGTCGCCCCTTAGCAAAGCATTATGTTTTAAGTGAATCGTTCATCTGTAGAATACAGCACGGAATGTCTACGTCCTACTTCCTTTAAGCGTTGGCAATAGGGCGAGGCCTTTTTAGTGAAAAGAAAAGTTCGATTCATGTCCCTTGTAAGAAGTGGGAGCATCATCTATTCGTTACTTTACATATTATTTTAATCAATAATATAGAGTTTCGTTTTTGTTCAAATTGAACTGCACATTGGAGGCTTTCTTCTGGCTTGTCTTGCGCGTATAATTTGAGACTTTAACACCCTTACTGTTGAAGATAGTGTTATGGTATGTGTGCTTGAGTAACTCTTTGTCAGCCGGATCGAAAGTTTGTAACATATCCTAATAAGCAAATACTATCTTCTTCCATATTCTACCCTTTAAGTGTAACCGAATCATATCAATACCTCCATTGATTCACCTGTCGCTGGCTTCCTCCTTTTCCAATACATCACAATTATAAAACACAATGATGATATAATCAAAATGTATACAAAAGTCAAAGAATGTTCATTGCTCTCCATTTACTGTTAATATTAATGATTTTTAAATCAGCTAAAGAAAACCATTATCCTTTTATATAACACACTTTCTAATATAACTAAACTATTAAAAACTAAGCGCAACACAACAAACAAAATATAGAGGCATCATTTCTTAATGATTAAAATAGAAGCCAAAATTGCTGCTATAATTTACTTAAGCTCCGATTTCTCAATTGAAAGAAAGGGGAAGATGCTGTGCAAATAAAATATATAAAAACCAATTTTGATAGAAATGCTCAATCGAGGTCTTTGAGGTATTGCAATTCTGAAATAGTTGGAATATCAGAATAGTCTTAAATTCCACAATCTATTAGAATTATAAATAGATTTATTTATTACTCATCACTAGCTGGATTAACTAACAATATCACAGCTACATAAATGAATATTGATTTAATTGGAACATTCATTTTAGTAAACAAATATTTTTGATTAGTTTTTGGATTCCATTACAAATTGATAAATAAGCATCAAATTTCAAGGGATATGATTCCTAAGCCACCAATTAAATAAAAGAACAATCCATTTAACAATATTATATTGATAAGAGGGGTTTCTTTACATTATTTATGAAGAATTTCAATAAAACTATTAAATATCAAACTCCATTTTAAACTTGATCAAGAATTCTATTATCCTTTCTAATTAGAATGTGGGAAAGAGATGGACAGATGATAAAGTTGTGATTCAACTTGTCAAATTAGTTCTTATGAATAATTATTTATTAATAATTTATATTATAGAAAAAATTTATGAATCTTCTATTTAGATAGGTTGTCAATCCAAACAATCCAAAAATAGTGGCCATCGCAAAAAATTATGTTAAACATGTAAAAGAAATGGGTGGCGATGAACCACCAAAAGAGCCAGTCATATTCTAAAAACCATTTACATCTTTGTTATACCTTCCTGAAGGAAATGGCATTCTGTAATTGCCTAAACATAATCATGAAATTCATCACGAAATTGAGGTATTCCAATTGATATTTGCTAGCTCGGATTTATGGTTGCTAAAAGTGGAAAGAATATCCAAAAGGAGAATTGGTAAGAATATATAGGAGGCTATTTCTTGGCTTTGGATTTGACTGATAGAGACATGCAGGGTCATTTTAAGAAACAAGGATTTCCCTGGGATTTGGCTAAGGGTTAAGACAATTTTTTCCCAATTTCAGATTTAATTACTAAGGAGAAGGTTAAAGATCCAAATAACCTTCAATTGGAATTGAAGATCAACCAAAAAGTAGTATAGAGTGATTCTACTTCTTCTATGTATTACAAAATTCCAGATCTATTGGCCTACATTTCATAATTTATGACTTTGAGACCAGGAGATTTGGTTTTGACTGGTACACCTCATGGAGTAGGTCCAATTAGAGTCAAAGACAATTTAAATGGCACATTAAAATAAGGAGATGAAACTTTGGCATAACTTAATTTGATAGTGGATTGAGGATTTCTTGAAATTCATTTACAACTATGAGTTAAATAAAAATATTAAATGAAATAAGATCAGTTTTCTTCAACAAGAGTGTAATTTGTGCATTCCAATAAATTATGCACTGCTTAAGTTCTAGAGCATTTTCATAATAGTCCATATCCGAAGGATCGAGATTAAGTTACGCAATTTATATAAAACTATAAGGTAAATGTTGTTATTTATTCAGACAGCCATAAATCCTAGAGAATTATCAAGAGCTGCAAAATGATCCTTCATTTTCAGTCTAATTTGATGAAACCTAATTGTTTTTCGGATTGATAGTGGATGGTTTGAAATAAGGAGTTGGAGTTTATTATAAATAAGGGAAATACATATTTGAAGGGGATTGGTAGTAGAATTAAAAGAGCGGAAGGGGAATTGAATTGTTTATTAATGGGTCCTATTATGAAGGATAATATGTCGATGGGAAACCTTCTGGAATGGGAAGATTTTATTGGAGCAACGGAGAATTTTATGAAGGGCAATGGTATAACAGTAAAAAACATGGTTCTGGAATTTGGAAGGGTTCTAAAGGCGACTCTTACATAGGTGAATGGAAAATGGGTGTTCCTGATGGTTATGGAGTGCATTTGTGGATTAATGGTGATCGATACGAAGGAGAATTTAAGAATTGTTTAAAGGATGGACGAGGATCTGAGAAATTTGCCAATGGAGATACTTACATTGGAGAATATTTAGCAGGAAAACCTTCTGGTATGGGAGAATACTACTGGGCTAATGGAGCTGTATATAAAGGAGAATTTAGAGATAGTTTAAGACATGGAAAGGGAGTTTGGAAGAGAGGGAATGGACTTGGAGATTCGTATAATGGAGAATACGAGAATGACTTGAAATAGGGTTATGGTGTATATAGTTGGGCAGATGGCAATAAATACGAAGGACAATTTAAAAATGATTTAAGAGATGGATTTGGTACAATGTATTGGCATGATGGTACTTTTTATAAGGGGTAATGGAAATAGGGAATTCAAGATGGAGAAGGAATGCTATCAGTAAATTAGGAAGTGATTAGAGGAGTATTTTATGGAACAAAAGCCTTGGAAGTGATTGAGAATACAAATTTTAGAAAAACTCATTTTCGAAATAATACTTATTCAGTGGATCCAGCAAGTCGATAAACAGGTAGAGACTAATCAAGAATTGATTATGTTCAATAATAGAGAAAGAATTCAACTGAAACAAGCACTAAAATGAATTCATTTACTTAGACTTAAAGAGAATATGGGTCTTCGGAGTAAGCAATTGTTAATAATAATTCGGAACCAAAGAGGATTGGACGTATTACTTAATCTAAATTGTTACATAATAAGCATAAACCCATGTTTCCCAAAATGCAATAAATTTCACAATAATAATATAAGAACTAGAATCAAAGTGATAAACGATTATATGAATAAAAATAATTATGGAAGCCAAGTGGTGTAGTGAAAAATGTTAAATTTTGATCAATTATATTATCATCACTTTTTAGACTATTGTAATTTTTTATCTTCTAATATCTTCTTTAAGAATTATGGAATGCGTTATTAATTTTGCTCCAAAGATCTTAACATTATGTACTAAATACTTTTTGAATTCAATAATCATTTTCTATCCTCGCAATAGATCTCTTAGTACTTCTGATCTCTGGTTATAATCAATACTTCTTTAAGCATCTTATGGTAATTTACTTTCAAATGGATCATATTAAACAGTCCCTTTGTGCATATTCTTGTAGAAGTGCAATTGATCTAAATTCAAAGACTCAGATTACCTGTATAAGAATCTTAAGTCATAGTAACCTTTTGAATGTATCGCTAATCATAAGGGATGTACCATTTATCATAATACTGTTTATCATCCAATTTAAGATAAGGCAGAGATGGCTACTTGGTTCGAATAATTCTGGGATGCACTTTAATGTTCTGTTTCTATTCTTATCCAATTAATTCTAAAATTACTTAAAGAAGGTTTTTAATCCGGCTCTGTCAATTGTAATTCGCTCCTTTGCATTCTTCTTTGGATGGATCGCTAGGCATTCAAATCCAGTTGAGTTAAAAAGTCAGGTCCATCTGTTTTCAATCGCTTCGACAAAAGAAAAGGAGGAGAGATTGATTAGAAATGACTTGACATAGTTGATTTTTACATTATCAATTATATAAATTGGTTAATATTAATTAACACTTATCAACCTGATCTAATTTAACTATTATTGGACAAATATATACACATTTCAATACTTTATTCTTATCCTTAACAAATTTCTTCCAAACTCTTTCCTTTAGTTTCTGGAATTAGAAATGTAAATCCAAAACCAATAAGCATGAATGATGCAAATATCAACATAATTGCTTTGAAATTGTCTGCTCCTAATCCCAAAAATCAAACTTAAGATACGATTGCACCCAATCAGCAGCAGCTGAAATTCCATGTCAAGTAGATCAATATCTAGTTGGAAAAACCTCTCCTGGTATATTGAAAGTAGTAGCATTTGGACCAAAATTGTTGAAAAGATTTGCCAATGTATAAGGAGCAATAAATATAAATTGACCCAGAATATTTTTACATAAACCCATTACTAAAAATAAAATTGTTAATGCTACAAATCCCATTATTTAAATATTCTTTCTTCCCCATTTATCAACAAAAAGAACTGTCAACCAATATCCAGGAACTGTTCCTAAAGCTGAAGTAATCAAATATCCATAAATTGCCTATTTCAAAATCTCATATTAACTCAGATTGGATCCCTTTCCAAATCCTATCATGAATCAGCGTATAATGTATCATCCTTATACAGAACCTATTAAATGTTTCTTGCTCCTTTTTCTACATCTCCTTTATCTCCATAGTAATTCTGGAGTTTCAGGAATAGTCATACGAAAATATATTGCCACCAAACCTCGAATGGCTCCAAATCCTACTATTATTCTCGAAATATGGTCAATCTAGAGATAATTTAATGGATCGTCATTATTCAATCTATTGCTAAATGATAATAAGACTATTAAGGCAACTATGCTCCCTGACAAGATTCAAAAACCTTGCATAGCAATCATAGCTCCTCTATTTTTAGTATTTGCAAATTCAGATGTTATAATTGCAGATAAAGGGTAGTCTCCTCCAATGCCTACCCCTAAGAAAAACCTCCAAATGATTAGCATTCCAACAACAGTCAATCCATTAGGTGATGATGTGTTTGATGCAAATGCAGAAGTATTTGTCGTAAACACTAGAATTACAAATTCGGTTCCATACATTTTCTTCCTTCATAATAGATCTGCTAAATATCCAAATAATAACTATCCAATCAAAGTTCCAACCAATGCAAACTGCTTCAATAGAGTTTCAGAAATAGGAAACAACTTATCAGCTTATTTTATTACTGTGTCTCCATCTCTCACTTCATCATGATAATAAACCATTCCTATCATTATTACGACTAATTGCATTATGAATAAATCATAAGCATCAGTGAAAAATTCTATTTCAGAAACCAACCATGCTTTAATGTGGAACAATCAAATTTTTCGCTATTTAATGCATCTAAACTTTTCTTCTCTCAGGCAATGGATCTTTCTACATTGCAATGTTTAATAGAGTCATTCTTCTGAATATATTTAATTCTAATTTGATAATATGTCATATGACTCAAATTTTGATTATATTATTGAAATTTCAACTTATAATTCTCTTATTAATTTTGTGGTAATGAAAATAGTCCTGAGTATTTCTCTATGAATTTTGTTGAATAGTTGACTTTCTTGTATGCAGTTCAAAATTAAGGTAGAAAATATTGATTAATAAAAATAAATTAATGAGATTAAAATAAAAAAATAATTCTGAACATGATTAAATAATCGCAAAGTATAATTTTAACATTGAAAATATTCAATTAATGGATTAAAAAATTAAATTAATGTATGATTAAAAATTATTATTGTCTCATCAAGTATGTAAGAAATGCATGGATTTCACAATAAAAGTGATTTAGAATGTTGATGTAAGAATAGCTAAATAATCTTTGATAAATCTTGTATTTTCTTGTTTATTATGAAAAGAATGCAAAAATATATATTAATCATATAAATATTTTTAAATTATCCTAAAACATCAGCAATAATGAGAAATTTTCTTTTTCAAGTTAAAGACTTTTACATTTAGCAATTTCTCACTGTCAAAGGAATATGGAGGAAATCTCTTGAACTCTCAATAGGGTTTTTAATTGTTGAAAACATCTAGTTGTTATCCTTGATTACTCAAACCATACCTGTCCTTAATAAAGCCGAATATTTAGACTTCATCCATTATATTTTGAATATATTTCGGTTTACTATTTAACTTATATTCATAGATTCTATAGTGTCTTAGGAGAGTATATAGAGATGCACATTCTTTTCATGTTAATAGGATTCATACTGACCTTTTTAACCTTTATCTGTTTAGTAATATTGATCTTAAATACTTCAGTTAGAATAAATTAAAATGGATAAATAATTGAGATGACTCTTGAAATTGTATTATTTTACTAAATTTAATTTAGAACAGATAAAAAGAAATAGAGCAAAATACTATGATCAAATAATTCATTTCAGTTTACATGCAAATTTATTACATGCTAATGAGAATCCCTTTACTTTATTCTCACTTTCACATTTTGAATTATTATCAAAAGACAAGTATTAATTGTTTATATTAGATTCACTTAACTAGTTCTTGCTCTTTGGTGCTAGTATTTCCATGTTTTCAATAGCACTTCAGTTGATTTTCAGCTTAATTATTGATTTACATTGCTTTGAATTTAAGATGAAAAACCAAGATTTCTTAGGAAGATTTAATTAATAGAAAGTGCATTTAGTATTTGCATTTTAAACAATGATAGTCATATTAATAGGATTGGAAGTAAACACCATAACAGTTCAAGTCTTTTACCTGATATATTTATTGATGAATGTAATTATGAGTTATCACTAACTTGTGTACGTAGAAGTCTAAATTTCTTAATTGCAACTTCATATCTCAAGCTATTTGTTGATATACTAAATAGCACTTTTGGTAGTTGAACTTAGTGATGTGGTAGACAAGTTAAATATTTTGGGATTCCTATTGTTCTTCTATCCCTTCATAGCTTACATTCTTAAAACTCTAACTGAAAGATAGAAACTATCCTAATTAAAATCTTCAGGAAATTCTTTAGAAAAATAAATACGATTTATTTATCATTTATTTAAAAAATAGATTAAACTAAAAAAAGAGTAGAGATCCTTGGATCCTATGGAATCATTGTTTATGTACTCGTTCATAACAAATCACTTGAGATATTGTTCATAGAATCGAGAAAGAAAATTATAAAAATAGATAAAAATGAAATTCAAGTGTTTTTGCGAAGAATTTTCAGAAAAGGAAAACTTTTAATTTAATTCAATAACCTAAATGAAGATGTTTGCTAAAGAATTGATATCACAAACCTTAGAGGATGAGATTATAGAAACTTCGAACACATACTTAACTTTGATTTACATCTACTTTTTAGTTTAAGTTAAAAAATTACCCACATAAGCAATATACGAAGTGATTAGATTGTCGATGCAATCATAAGTATCTATTAATCTTAAATTAAGGGCATGGCACTTAAGGAATAAGCAATTATTTATAAATTAAAATATGATGCTTTGGAAGAGTTTGATCAATTAGTTAAAAAGAATGATCTTAAAAATTAGAAGTACATTTTCAAAAGAGTCTATCAATACGAAGAATCTCTGTCTATTATTAAATAGAATATGTGCTTAATTGCAAGATAATTTAAGGTAATAGAATTTCTATGAGTCTTAGGAATGGTATGGATTGATACTTACATCCATAATTGATATTGATTAATTGGCAACCATTGGATTTGAGATATTAAGTAATATGAAAGCTGTTGAGTCTCAATTACAGTAAGCATTTACTATAAACCCACTATCGAATGAATGTGACACCATCTATAATCTGTTCTCTAAATATATATAATATAACAAGAGTCGACCTAAACTATACCGATTGGAAGGAAAATTGGTGACTTTTTTTATGTAATCAATCGAAAAAACAATATTTGATCCAGGCAGTTGTGTTATTTAAATTACCTTACTGTAACCCAGAGGAAATGTCATAAGATACACAAGATCATTTTAGTAGGCAATTGGGTTTAAGGATGAAGAGATTAAAGATTAAAATATACACAGATTCATGCCTCAAATAATTGCTGATGATCACGATATGTATTTAGATAATTTTGTAGAGAGAGGGAGAATTATAGTGGTAAGATCAGAGGTTAGAGTGATATTGGGTAAGAATAAGGGTTAATTTTTGGTTCCTATTAATACTAGATTGAGAATTGAAACAAGTCCAACTGAGTTTGGTGCTACTGCTCTAATTACACCTGTGAATCTGACATTTGGATATATGATTTTGAATGAGAAAGGATAAATTGAAGAGATTACTCAGAATATTTTTGAGGAGATGTTTTAAAAGCATTTGGGAATATCAGTTTAATAAATAAGAGGACTGGATTGCTTATTTTTTGTACCTGAATTAGCTAAAATTTGGGAAGAGATTTACGATTAAAATTTTGATAAATTAGATAGAAAGTTCGAATGTTAATTCATCATTCCATTAATTAATTAAAACAAAAGCATGTCGTAGTCATAATTATCAAAAAGTTTATCCAAATTATATTTTTAAAAATAAATTTATAAGAATTTTGAAAATTAGCCTACTGAAAATGTTATTTTTCTTGTTTAATTACATGTTATGAGTTTGGTTACTATCAATTTGAGGTATTAATACAATTTAATCATTAGATTAGTGATTTTGGAATTGTAAGATTTTAGATTGATGCCCAATTTAAAGATTTCAAGTAAATAAATAATATAGTTAAGGGGGAGAACATCAAAATAATTTAATATTTAATAATTTCAAAACTCTACTAGTTATAGAGAGAATGCAAGTTTATTAAATTCTCCTTGGGTATTAGACTGTGATTTAGATCACGATTTATTGGAAGAGGAAGAGAGGATGATTTATGAAGTGAAAAACTAATTAGCTACAGTAAATATAACAAATACAACTCATCATTAATAAATTTAACTAATATAATATGCCGAAGATGAAATTCAGAATGAAAATGAAAGTCTATAGGAACAAAAATAAAATGTTCCCAAAGAAGGTTAACCTTCAATCAAGATTGATGAAAAGAAGAAGAATTAAATGAATAAAGTTGATAACTAAAATAATATGTCTATAGGCAGTAGATCATCGTAAAACAACCAGTCATAACTAAAACGGTAAATGCGAGATTGCTTGAGTGAAAATTCAACTTTAAACAAAAAACAGGCATTTGTGTTACTGGCATTTTATTTATCGATAATAGGATCTTATATTCTTAATTGCTTACTTTTCTCTTCGAATTACCAGAAGATTTAATAAAATCAATCTAGTCAGAATCTGCCCTATTAATTATCTTATTTTTATAATGAATTTGTGATTTCTTCTTACTATTTGAAATATAGTTTACTATTTCCATTTTCAGATTTGCAATAAATTAGTTTAGATTTCTATTAGAGTGAAATAAAAAATATTGATGATGCTTTGAAGAATATTCCCGAAATAGAAGAAGTCAATGTCGATAATTCACTTAATTAATAATCGATTAACATTATTTAGCAGATGATGATTCAGAAAAGTAATTAATTAATTAATTACAATGCGTTCTTGAATAATACTAAGTACTTTGAGAACATTGTTTATACTCTCTATAAAGCAGATACAACTAGAAATATTACTAATATCCAATATATGTAAATCATTTATAATATTTATGAATATTATTTTTAGAGTTATAGCTGAAGAAATAGTTCTAGTGTTATTTATTTGTTGGTATGCATACAAGTGCATCATACTTATACAGATGAAATAAAAAGTATACAAATTGTTTTGCACATTCACTACAGATGTGATACAAGAGCAGTACGTAACGTTTTCTTCTTTGCATTCACTTATGAACACAGTAAAATTCAAAAAAGAAGAAACAAATGAGGAAAAGTTTGAATTGATTATGGGATAAGCTTTTCATAAATAGACCAACAATTCTATTTTGGAGAAATACTAGAAAGTAGGGAAAAGAATTAAATAAAAAAGTATTTGTTAATACTATAATACATTAGAAAATAATTCAACTCAAATAATCTTTTTCTTATTTGTTTTGATAATGATGATAGTTTGTTCCATATATTTTATAGGAAGCAATTTATTGCATTAAGCAACTATAGATAAGGTACTTATCTAATTCAATGATAAAATTCTGTTTTAATAGGCATATTACGAGATTACTTTAGCATTTGCTTAATCCTCTGTTTTCATTTAAACCAAAATCACCAGTGATATCTTGGCAATTTAAAATAACACTGTTAATGAATTGAATACTTTAAGAAAGAAGCTGTCGTTGTATCAATAGGATTAAACTATTTACAACATTGTAACAAAATCGGCTTGCAACATTTTCAATGATTCACTGTAAATACACAATATATTCATATCATAGAACAAGTATTTAGTAATATGATGATTTGTTTTCATATGAGCAATGCATGAGCATTCCCATTTTATAGGGAGGATTAAGTGTGATCTTTGCAGATTTGTGTGATTAACAATTAAGATTTTTGTAGGATCTAGAAAATAATGCCTCTCAGGAATATCTGTAGTAGAATTATTATTCTGCCATATCATAAATTGAACGTCTTTATGATTCTATGGGGTTTTTTGTTATTGTCTCAACCCTAACTAATCAGATTAAGTAATCAGTGTAAGACAACATCAATTTAGATATAATTTTGGTAGTGTTTTCTGCTGTATTGATGACTATATCAATGATAATAATGATTATATCAATGAGAAATATTCGATCGCATTATTAAACAAGCAAATAACTGCTAACCCTGGTTCCCTTGGAAAGGTTACTCGAAAATGCTTATATTTTAAGCTTTATTTAGTAAGATATTAAACTACAAAATTGATCCTGTAATATATTTATATATCTTCTTATTGCAAATATTCAATTTTATTTAATCAATACTTTCTTGTAATTAAATATTCAATATTCCTTGCTATTTAAGGTTCCCACTTATCTCCATTCTCTAGAAGTTTAAATTTGTCGTAGAATAAATCCTCATGTTGGTATGTAGTATATTCATAATTTGGACCCTGATTAGAATATTTTTAATTACTTCCACAATAGCATCCACTGGACATGCTTCTTAACAAAATCCACAATAAATGCACTTGGTCATATCAATATCATATCTCACAGTACGTCTTATAGAATATTAAAGGAATATACCTTGAATTATCAGGTCTTGGCTCTGTTTCTATTGTAATGGCTCTTGCTGGACAAGCACTTTAACATAATTTGCATGCAATGCATCTAAATTTTATAATGTCTGCAAATACCTTTCCTCTCCTGTTGGATATCTTCTTAAGGCATGTTCTCCTCTAAACAAGGGTGAAAGAGGACCCTTTTCATATGGATAGTTGATGGTCCATTCAGGCTCGAAACAATATAGGACACCACAAAACCAAAAATGATAAAGGTATTCTGGTTGTGTAAAATTTTGATATGCTGTTTCCCAAACGTCTGTCCAATCCAATTCATCTGGCATGAACTTGCCTAAACAATCTCACACTACTAAATACCTTGATAGTAGTGCATTTAAACATTGTTTTCCTGATCTTTATCAAAGTCAAGAATGCTTGAATTGAATTAAGGAGTAGCGAATTTACTATTTGGATCTTATGAATTAGCGACGTGATAGTTTACAGAATTCTTAATATAAACTAAATATTCATCTCTTTTCATTACCACAAAATCGTGCCTATCTTGATTTCTACAACAATTTAGTCAGCATTAATAATTATATAAAATAATATTTTTTATAAAAATCCTTTTTTATTTCCCCTCCTTTTGAAAACACTTCTCTTCTCTCTTATCCACTAATCTCATAAAGATAGGCACTCTGATTAGAGATTCTATGAAATCGATATCTTATTTCAGTTTTGAGCATAGTTTGTCCAAAGATAGAAGAAATAACGCGTTGTTATGAGATTATAATTTGATATTATGATTTAATTTCAAGGTCTAGGAGGATTCAGACAACTATGCTTGGAAATACAGCTCATCAAGAATTTATGATTTATAAATTATTTTAAATAAAGTTCTAGAATCTTCTGTGCATATTTAACTTCCTCTCTGGTTTTAAATAATATAATAATCTATAAATACTAAATCATGTCAAATAAAGAACAAGACTATTATGAGGTTTTGGGAGTTAGTAAAACAGCCTCTGATGATGAAATCAAAAAGGCTTACAGAAAATTAGCCATCAAGTGGCATCCAGTATGTTTTAGAATACTATTTTAAGGATAAAAACCCCAATAATAAACAAGAAGCTTAAGAGAAGTTTATAAAAATTGGAGAGGCTTATTCTGTATTGTCTGATAAAGATAAGAGAGCTATTTACGATAGATATGGTCACGACGGGTATGCTAATCTAATTTTTATTTATCTAGTTTAAAAAATGGGGGTGGTGCTAGTTAATTTTAAGGTTTTCAAGGTTTTAGTAACTTTAATGATGGATTTGATCCTTTCAAAATATTTGAGAGCTTCTTTAAGGATAGTGGAATGGATAATGATGATGATTTTGGGTTTTTCTTTGGAAGAGGTGGAAGCAAAAAAAATAGTAACAACTCTTAAAGAAGTCCTTTTGGATTCTCAGGATTTGGAGGATTTGGAGGTTTTGGAGGCTTTGGTGACGATGACTTCATGGGAATAGGAGGAGGATAATTCTAATCGTTTTAATCTTCAAATTTTGGAGGTGGATTTGGAGGAGCTACATCAATTTCTACTTCAACAACAGTGCAGTACAAATTCAATATTAATAACATAGAAATGGTCGTAAAGTTACAGTCACAAGAAAGACAACAACTAAGGCTGATGGAACAACCGAAGTAGTTGAAACTATTGACAATGGAGGTAGAAAGGAAGAGAAAAGATACTCATTAGAAAATGGATAAAAATCTAATGGATCCAAATATATAAAGCATCAATGACCTATAAAATTTATATTCTCTTATCATTTATATTACATTCTAAAATATATATGTATATATTTATAATTAATCGATAACAATTAACAGATTATGTAATTTTAGGATTTCATGTTAATAACCAAATAGAAATTGGATGAAAACAGGGAACAACAGCTATCTTATTTTTGTATATCTTCTTATTTATATCTTAGTGAGTTAATAAATAGATTTGATCAATATTAAGTTTTATTCTATCTAATTATTATTGGGACAATAATTATTTAAATTATCTAGAAATAGAGCACTAATCTTCCTGAAATTGAATTGGATACTATTTATTGTAAATATAATTGCAGATTTCCTTACTCTCTAATAATCCTTAATCAATAAGGTGTTGAAAATATAAAACTCTGTAATTTTTTGTTTAGTAATTGATAATTTGAATTTTTCAATAAATAACAAATATAGATTATAATATTAATTAGATGCAATAAAGAACTCAAAGCGATTCAGAACAGTCCCACAAAGTGTAGTAATTCATGATTACTGATGAGCAGATAGGTGAAATTCATGACTTTGTCAATAATTCTCTATCTGATGCTTATTATCCAATTTCCTAATAGAGAGGTTAAAAGTAATCAGAGCCTACTCCTTTGTCAAATGAAGAATTGAGAAGTCAGCGAATGAGTATAGATAGTCCTGATGCCAGATTAATTTTATAATCATCTAGCCGGCAATAAAAAGATGAACCTTAGCATTAATTAACATTATTTTAATCTTGGAATGCAATCAAGTTTATAAGAAGAATTAGTGAGCGAAAAAGAATAAACACGAAATTCAGTCAATATTAATACGATTTATTAAATGATAAAGGCTCGTCATTCGATTTAAAATTATTTAAGGAGAGTAGTTTACATTTTAAACCAATGCATAGAGGATTAAGAAGATCAAATCAAGTCGAGCAGATCGAAAAACCATCGGCACTATAACAAGTAAAGAGCTATGCAATTCACCAAAAATAAAATATCAAGCAATTTTTTAACAGAATCGAATAATAACTTCAAAAAATCCCCCTAATAACCCCTGAATCAAGATGGAAATTGATTTGGGATTGTTTTGTTGCTTTTTCCAGGTTATATTTCATGTATGTAATTCCAATAGATTTGGGATGGACACAAATTCCAGTGATTTATGGTTAGTTATACCCAGTTTCGGTTTTAGCACTTATAATATTATTATTAGATTATATCATAAGCTTTAACAATTCTTTTTATCAGTTTGGCTAAATAGCGAATTAAAGAGCAATCATAGCTAAACATGTAATCACAAAAAGCTATGGCTTGGAATCCATATCCTTGTTAATTCTAAGTATTTACCTCTTTAATTCAAATTCCAACACAATCAATGTGTTGGACAATTGGGCAGATGTTTTTATTGCTTTATTTTATGTATAAAGTAGAAATATTCCGAAATTGATTGCCTAAATAGAAGAAGTGCTGAATTTGTCGAAGCCAGTTTCATCAATGTTAGAGTTATTGAAATTGATATTGGTATTGTTTTTCGTTTTGCATTGCTACTCCTGTTTGTGGTTTTTTGTAAGTAATAAGAATAACTATATAATTTAGGTTGGGGAATATAGCCACAACCATTCAGTTTAAGGAAGTTGGTTAGAACTTTATCATATTGAACATGAAACCTTTGCCGTTTAGTATTTGTTTTCATTTTATTATTCTACAGTGACGATGTTCACAGTAGGATATGGAGATATTACGCCGGTTAGTTACATAGAAAGAATTATATCTATATTCTATATGATGTTTTGCAGCATTCAACTGAGTTATAGTGTGAGTACAGTAGGAACAATCTTAGACAAGATATCAGCCTATGAATAGGAGAAGATGAAAAAGGTGCATACAATAAATACTTATATGCAAAATAAGAAGATTGGATATGAACTACAGTATTAAGTTAGAGAATATTTGAATTACTATTGGCAATCACAAAGTCAAGTAGAATCACAGGATGAATAAAATATTATTAATTAACTATCTTAAAATCTTAGAGAATAATTAATGTTACAAGCAAATTCTATCATTTTAAATGAATGTCCCTTATTTAAAAATCATTTCAGTGATTAATTAAAGAATAAGTTGGTAAGACAAATTAAATAAACAGTAATCTAGCCTGAAAATATAGTGGAATTTGATCAAATATTCCCAACTCTTCCAAATGGTTAAATCTTTATGTGCTTTATAGAACATGGAGAAGTTTAGATCTTAATTCAAAATGATTAAAAGGACTCCATTTATTCACATCAATAAGTGTCTGTGATTAGTAAAGTAGGGAAGGGAAGTAGTTTGGGCATTTACAGTTTTATTAGTGGTCAAAAATCTCGAGAGAAATTTAGAAGTTTAGGTTTCACTAAATTGCTGTTACTATCTCGAGATGATTTTTTAAGAATATTGCCTGATTATCCAGAAGATTATGAAAATTTTAGAAATATTCATGATGGACTTCTATTTAATTAAGATTATATTCAACATATGAAATGTTTTTCATGTTAATCCTCAACTCATAGAGTCATGAATTGTCCTCTTCTACATTACGTGAGTGACAGAGAATTCATAATTAAAAAACATTTATTTAACAAAGATCATAACAGATCAAAATTCAAAAGGAACATGAAAAGATTTATAAATTAATTTCATGCATTAGTGGATTAAGAAGAGATCTCTGATATTGCTCAATTTTACAGCAATTGCAATTCTAAATGGACTGAATTTTATGATGAACCTCCTGAAGAGGATGATGACCCCAAAGGTTCTTAAATCAAAAAGATTGATGTGATAGTCGCATCTCCAGATTTGGCATAATCTCCAATGTAGCATCATAGACCATAGGCAAGATTCAGTATTTTGAATAAAAGAGGGAGCACAATTGATGCATTTGAACCTGAAGAGAACAAACAGAAATTGCCAATGATAATCAGGGGAACTAAAAGAAGATAATCTAATGTCCAATAACTCAAATCAATAGAAGCTAAGTCATGTACTTAAAATCCGAATTCAAGACGATTGAGACCATCATGTACAATAGAATTTAGTCGATTTAGACAAATTCAAGTATTGTAAAGATTTCGCAAAGTTGTTTAAATGGTTATTAAACTTAACATTATGAAGAAGAAGAAATCGAGCAAAAAGACTTTGTCAAATAAGTTTTAAGATATTTAACAATAGAACCAATAATTGAAGTTGATCTTGGAGAAAGTGAATATTAGGATCAGTTAGATTGATTAAGGAAAGAAGGAAATTTTAAATGATATAGACATCTAAAATGCATTTTTGTTATCTACTAAAATTAATATGCTCATCTCATTATAACAGGAATATTTTGTGAATAAGACCAAAGTTTAATAAATGGATGTTTGCAAGGAGTTTTAATATTATTAACCTTAAAATAACTTCACTAAAGTTCTTGAGAAAGAGGAATTTTACTATTAGCAAAGAAAGATTTAGCCGAAGTTATTAGAGCTTAGAAATAAATTAGTGTAATATCTAATGTTCCCTTAGATGTATCTTGAAAAATATAAATATGTGAAATTACAATTAGTGAATTTGCTAACATAAAGATAATTTAGAGATGAAAATAATAAATCTTAGATTTTTAATATGAGCAAAAGAAACAAATTTAGAGGTAAAACTTTTAGAGCACCAAAAGTGAACTAAATTCTTCCTAAATGATATATCTATTGATTGTAATATAAACAATTATCAATAATTTTGATTTGCATATTCAATTCTTATATCATCAATTGGATGGGTTTCAGGAGTGGCTGTTTCGTCCTCTTTGTACATCTTTATAGATTTGTCACATTCTCCAGTCAAAAATCTAAAATATATAGAGATATTACCTCATTTAACTTTGATCAAATGTACAACAAAATATACCATTTTCAGCTGCAATTGAACCTGGTTAAGCGATAGTATTTATCTATTAAAAGTTGTATCCTGATTTCCAATCCCAGAAATACAATGATCCATTATCTGCAGCACTTGCCAATACATTATTCCTATTGATGGCTACCGAATTTATCATAGCATTATGGCCAGATATATTCCTCAAAAAAGTACCTTCAGGACATTTCCAAACTTTGAGATTATCAGAAGCTGCTGAACAAAAGGTATATTCTAAGGGGTGAAATGCCATAGCTCTAACTGATTTCTTATGATTTGTTAAAGTGGATATACATTTTCCAGAAGTCATGTCCCACATCTTGATCATAGAATCTTAAGATCCACTTACTATCTAAGGTTCAAATTCTTAACAAATTATCGAATCAATAGTATTTGTGTGTCCCTCTAAAACATGAATTTATTGTCTGGCTCTTATGTCCCATACTCTACAGACTGAATCTCTTCCACCACTCACTAAGACATCCAATGTTGGATGCAAAGCTAAACTATACACTCCTGACAAATGCCCATGATAATCTCTGATCATCTTATTTTATTCTAGATCCCAACATTTAACTGTTTTATCTTCTGCACAACTGAACAAGTAAGGATGTCTTGCACTTACTATCACAGATCTTATTGTTGAGATATGACCTGTGAAAGTTAATTTCAAATTGCCTGTTGCCAAATCCCAAAACTTAATGGTTCGATCACTTGAACCTGTCACAAAAAATTAATTTCCAGGATCAACAGCGATGCATCTTACCCAACCATGATGTCCACTTATAACTCTCATCAATTTCCAAGGAGCATGCCATTCTGGTTTTATTATTTTCTTTATTTTTTAAACCATCACAGTTCCTAATCTAGCTGGTTCAATGACTGACAATTGATGTTCATTTGGATTCACAGCAACCAAAGATTTATTTTATGCAATTTATTTTTCATTTTGAATATAAGTGTTATTGGTTTGTGTGGCTGAGGTTTTTTCATCAAATTTTAAAAATTATTGCGGTAATTTCGATAATTTAGTTTCCTTCTACTTATCTTTTTAATAATCTTCTATGATTTTATCTATCTATCTTTTATTCTCAGGCTTTTTCTAGTCTTTTATTTCAGTTTGTATATTCTCGAATTCCTAATGCAAAGAGTCAGCCAACTCATTGCTTTTAGTAACATTTGAGTATTCGTAATTTACTTTTGTGTTTATTTTAAGTTTCAATGTTTCATAAAATTCTGGTACTCCCTTACCTTATTGGGCTTAAAATAACTTTTTAGAACTCAAAACCAAATCCTCACAATTAGATTCTAAAGTTGGATAGAGAGTCACTAATTCTTCAGACATTATATATATAATAAATAAATATAATTTGAAAAATTATCAATATAATCTGAGTATTTGTAATTTATATATCTTGAAATGAAATCTATTAGGATATCATTGTATTGAAATATATATGCTGTTGTCTATGTCTACATCTGATATATAAGACAAAATTATTTAATTCAAAAATATAAATATTTGAATGAAAACCCTTCTGTTTCAAAAGGGTAAATTATATTAGATCTGATTAACTAAATTCAAGTAGTGATTTATCAATATTCCGTTTTATTCTTATAAAATAATATAATATATTATTTCTTGTTAATCTCATCAAATTGTGCATATGCAAGGATTTTTGGATATCTCTGGAATTCAGTCTAATGAGAAGACAATGTTACTTGATATATCAGCAATACCTTCAAAGGAGGATCATTTAGATGATGAACTAATACATTAATTAATGATTTTACAATCTTAAGAAGCTATTAGAGAGAAAGAAAATGATGAAGAAGTTACAAAGCATGCCAGATAACTGAAAAAAAAAGTAATTAATTCTTTAGAAAACTATTCTTAAATGTTAACTAGTAAAGATAATTCAATAAAGAAAGTGATCAAGAACGATTTAAACATAATCAACTAAGAATATTAAGAATTATTATCGATTGTTGATGAGGTTGAATTGATTTCCAATGAAGTTCAGATGATAATCAAATTGGTAGGAGAATTTTTAGAAAAAATGAGTGTTAAATCAAATGAAAAGAGAGAAATTTAATATTCAAAAACTATGTCAGAAAAATTGTAAAGAAATCCCACAAGATCAAATACTTTTTAAGGTCATTCATATGATTGCTACTAAAAATAAAGATCATTTCCATCATAGCAATTACAATAATAATAACAACTAAGCAATAATTCTTGCGAATCAGATGAAAACACTGCTGTCTCAAATAAAACTTTGAGTGCTTTAAATAGTAAAATCTGTACTTTGATTTAATAATTATAATAGAATGAAAAATACCAAAGAATAACCCATTATGCTTAAGAAATAATGAATAGCTCCGAAAATATGGAAACTTTCAAATAACTTCGATAATTATCTAAATAGTTTGATGATCCAGAAGTTAAGAAATTAGTCAAAGTTTGTTATTTGAAATCTCTCGTATAGGAGTAATCTCAGAATAATACTTCTAAAAGAGAATTTTATGATTTAGTGATAAAAATTAAAAGTTAAGTTCCTGAAAATAATAAAATACATTCGATGATGATAAATTCGCTATACGATGACGTAGTAAAAAATGGAGTGCCAAATACTTAATGGGAAGCCTATATGAAATAATTATTCAAATGAATATATTACTTTTATTAATAATATTAGATCTTTAAATTTTAATAGATGATATTTATTAATATTATAATTGATGCTGGATAATAATCAGGTTGATCTAAAGTTATACCACGATTAATAGAAATTGGTTTGCTGATTATTAATTAAAAATATTAATTATTTAAATTATGGCATCTATCAATTATTTAACTTTAAGGCCTGAATAAGCTTACAAAATTTATGATGGTACTCTAACTCCATGAATAAATTTAGACTACGTTAAGGAAGGAAAGAATAATGATGCATTATTGATCCTGTTTCGATATTTATCTAGTTTTGGTTAAAGAACGAGAAAAACCACCACTTCTTATCAAGATTAAGGAGACGTGAGTGTGGCAAGCAATATCTAATACCTTTATAAATTGATGGTAACATCTTCGAATAATTCTTTAGCAAGCTTATATTGATTTAAGATTATTTGTTGGAGTCAATTAACCAGATGAATAAAATTAATTGAAGGAAGTTTTCAAGGCTTATAGACAAATGACTTAACATAACCACTTTGACGCTTTTGCTGATATTTTGAAAGAATATTTAGTGAAAGTGGAAAAGATATTTAGTGACAAAGTTAAATAATATGATGTAGAAGAAGTATTAAAGTATATTGATTGTGTAGCTTAAGAAATCGCCATTTGTTGGACAGTTATCCTATGAAGAACCAGCAGAGGAGTTGCTCTATCTATCATTTGATCCTGAAGCAAAATAACAGAAGGATCATTAGAAATCTTGCTTAAGACTTTTGTGGGAAACATATAGAACAGTAATGGAAAATGTTAAGTGGAATGAGAAATTAGAAGATGTGTATTTTGAAATTTTAAAGAAAGTGAGCGAGTTTTGTTTGAAATATAAACGTAAGGCTGAGTTTTAATGGTTTTGTGATTAAACAAATAGGTTATTTATATATTTGATGTTTTTATAGATTTGTCTTGGATTTAAATGAAAGAGAATTAGATATTAAGCGAAATCCTACTCATGTAGACTTGACAAAGCCAGCTACTAATGACAAGCATGTAAATGCAATTTTTGAAATTGTTAAAACAGCTACAGCCTTGGATATGCAATCCGAAGCATCAAAGACATTAGAAACTGTTATGGTGCTCAAATCAATGAGGAGGGGCAATTTCAAAGCTTCATATCTTATGCTCTACTATGATTTGCTTTCTTAGATATTTTAGAAATCCGGAAATAGTTTATTTTAAGCATTTGCCTACTATAACCATTATTTGGCATTTAAGAAGAAGCCAGTTTAAACATAAGACGAAATTAAACGTAAGAATGCTGAAATAAATGAAAAATTATCTCATTTGGTTTTATCTGTATTGGTCATACCACTTTTAAGTGCTGATTACAATCAAAGAGACAGAACAACTTCTTTGTTTGAAAAAGGAACTAAAATACCAACAAGAGAAGATTTGTTAAAAATTCTAGGAGAGATGAATGCTGTCAAATTTGTTCAACCTATTATTTAAAAGGTTTATCTCTTATTAGAAAATCAATAAGATTTATTAACAGTCTCTGATTAGGCCAATCGAGTCTTTACTGAGTTGAGACAAAATGAAAAATATTTATTATTCATTCCATTACTTGAAGAAAATCTTGTAGGATAGGTGTTGAAAAGCATCTCTAGAATTTACAGAACTATTAAATTAGATCAATTGAAAGACTTATTGAAATTTACAACTTTAGAAACCATATTCTAAACTTTAATTCATTCTAACTCAAATAAGTTTATCAGTTGCAAAGTTGATTTCTAATCATAAATCGTATATTTCAATTCCAATCAAATATCAAATGATTAATAAATATTGCCAACAGTTTTATTAAATTTGTAGCCTTAAAGAACAGTTCAAGATCCAATTGATCAAGCTAAAAAATAACTGGATTCCTCAAATCTTGTCATTTTGACAAGACAATAGACTTTGAAAAATTTGAATAGACTGGCTGATCCAGATCTTATTAAAAAGAAAGTGGAGGAGGATAATTAAAAAGTGATTTAAGAAATGAAGGAGTAAAGGAGATAAGATGAGGAGAGAAAGAAATTTGAATAGGAAAGAATAGCTGAGATGGAAGCAAAAAAGGCTAAAGAAATATCAGTTAGATAAAAATTATTGCAAGATATTATTAAATTAAAAGGAGGAAAATATGTTACATTTGAAATCAATGGAGAAAGAAAGAAAATTGAATTATTAAAAGATTATCACCTATTAAATATAGACACAGGAGTATTGTAGGATATCAAAAAGAAATTTGAAGAAGAAGCAAAGAAAGGAGCTGATGATAAATATTTGAGAACCTTTAAAAAGAACGATTATATTGAAAGAGAGAGAGCTATTATGGAATCAAAGATAATTACTAGTTGGCCGGAAGATAATATTGAGGAAGCCTAAAAAAAGCATCAAGAATAATACCAAGCAAACTTAAAATTAAAAGAAAGCTTAACTGATGCATTCAAATATCACGATGAAATAATCGCTTAGAAAAAATAATAGAAAGAAAAAGAATATTAGGAATAGCTCTAGAAATTTAAAGCAGAAATAACCCAGAAGTTCAAATAGCAAATATTAGATAAAGGATTCTAATTATAAAAACAAGATGAAGAAAGAAAATTAAGAGAGGAGGAAGCTAGGAAGAAAGAATAAGAGGAAAGAGAAAAAAAATCAATATCCTAATAGGCTGAAAAATAGGCAGTTCCTGACAGCAAATAAATTTCTAGAAGTACTCTCTCATCCCAAACCTCATAACAATAACAACAACCTAACTAATAAGCGCCTTAATAATCAGCACCATAAACATAAATTGGAAGAAACATTGGAGGATTTACTAATACTAGATCCCAAGTTGAAACATAATAAAGCAAACCTGTTTAATTTACAAGAAGTACTGCCTAATCAGGGTAATAATAGCAATAAGAACAACCCTAATAATAACCACAATAAGCTACATAGTAACAATAGAGACAGTAATAATAAAGATAAACATAATAATCAACGAGCTAAGCAGCACCAAAGTTTTAGAGAAATTAATGATCAAAAAATTATAAAATAAGTTCTATCTAAAAGTATTTTTACAACATAATTAATTATATAACTTTTCAGTCTTGAATTATTCAATTATCTTATTCTTACAGGGACATATAATGTTTGTAGTGTTGTATTTTCAGATTAGTAAAGTACATTGTTTAAATTTTGTAATCTAATTAATAATATATTAATCCTTTATTTAGTTGATATTTGATGTCATAAAAATTAATTTAATGAAGTATTCTTATTTTAAAACACTCTCAGTTCAGTTCTAAAATATTTGTACTTTCTATCTGCATTCTATTTTATTGTTATATTTAGATAGATTGATGATTTGGTCGAATCGATAAGACCTATTGAATTGTTTTATTTTTGTTATTAATAATGATGAGTGAGAGGGAAAGAGTATTATTTATTAAATTATTGAATTTTATAAAAATTAATGAATGCGCAATTGCTTCACTATAAATTAGAATAATTAGAGGTCAAGGGCAGTTCAAAGTTTGAAGTCGTTTTTGCTGCTCCTGATACTCAACAAGAATAATATTCAAGATTCACTTTAAGAGCTTGGTGGATTGTATTATAGGCACATCGAGATAAACCTTATGCAACTAGAATAGATTTGTATGAAAGAGCCTTTAAATACATTCCAAATTGCTATAAATTATGGTTCAACTATTTAAAGGAATAACTTGAAGATTTGGGAGGTAGAAGCACATTTTTGTCGAATAAATTTGAGGAGATGATTTCGTATTTTGAAAGAGCTTTGGTCTATATGCACAAAATGCCTAACATATGGTTGATGTATGCTGAATATAGTGCATCATTGCAGAAATACACACATACTAGAAATATTTATGATCGAGCCCTTTAATCATTACCTGTCACTCAACATCATAGAATTTGGAAGGCGTATTGCTAATGGGTATGAATTAAAATTAAATTTCAGATATCGAAAACAGACTCAATAAAGACCGCAATTTCAATTTATAATAGATATATTAAGATAAATCCTGATTACAAAGAAGAGTATTTAGATTACTTGGTATCAAAGTAATTGTGGGGAAATGCATGTTAAATTTTGGTTGATATCTTAAATGATGATCAATTCAATTCATCAAGTGGGAAAACCAAATATGACTTTATGAAATACTTATGTGAAATAATCGCTAGACATCCTAATGATTTGCCCATAGATGCAGCATCAATAATGAAGTTTGGAATCAAGAAATATTCAGATGAGATTGGTTAATTGTGGATCAAATTGGCAGATTATTATATTAAAACAGGCCAATTTGAATAAGCCAGAGACACATTTGAAGATGCTGTTAATAATGTACTCACTGTGAAAGATTTCAGTTTGGTTTTTAATGCATATGTTAAATATGAAGAAACAATAATCCAAATGTTGGAAGACTTCGATGAGAATGATGAGAATCAAGATGATATTGATGATACAATATTATCAACTAAATTGGATTAATTATTAAAAATAAAGTCATCACAAGACGATGAAGTACAAATAGAAGATGAGTTATTATTAAAAATGGATAGATTGGATGAACTTTTGGAAAGAAGGCCGATCCTATTAAACTCCTGTATATTGAGATAAAATAAATATAATGTTGAAGAGTGGTTAAAAAGGATTGAATTGGTAAAAAGGGATGAAAGAATGGCCTTGAAGACTTTCACTGAAGCACTTGAAATTGTGGAGCCAAATCTAGCAGATAATGGAAAGCTGAGTGACATCTGGATAGCCTATGCCAAATACTACAGAGACAAAGGAGATTGGAAGACTTGCAATTAAATCTTTTCTAAGGGATCAAAAATAGAATTTAAAAATATTGAAGAACATGTTAACCTCTGGTCTTAATGGGTTGAAATTTTACTTTTAGATGGATTTGTTAATGATTCTCTTTCTGTCATCAAATAAGGGTTATTTAAAAAGTATGTAAAAAGATTAGATAAAATGACACCATCTGAAATGGTACCCTATTCGTTATAATTATGGTAACTCTATCTAGATCTAGAAAGAAATTTTGGAAATTTTAAATCATTGAGGGCAGCCTATAAGCGCATGGTTGAATTAAAAGTTGTCACTCCATTCATTATTATTAATTATGCTTAACTTCTAGAGGATAATGCATTCTATGAAGAATCCTTTAAAGTATTTGAGGCAGGTGTCTAATTATTTGATTGGCCAGCATTGTATGATTTATGGATTGTCTACATCACTAAATTCATATAAAGATATCGAGGATAAAAAATTGAAAGAACAAGAAATTTGTTTGAAACAGTAATCGAGCAAGTTCCAAAAGATGTAATCATTCAATATTTTATTAGAAAAATCGAATATTCTATTTAATGTATGGAGAATTTGAAGAACAGTATGGATTATTAAATCATGCCATTGAAATATATGATAGAATGGTATTTAACGTTGAATACTAGGACAAAATGGAAGCGTATAAATTACAATTTATTTAGTTACAATATATATATAGCCAAGGTAGCCTTATATCTAGGAATTACAAAAACCAGACCTGTGTTTGAAAGTGCTATAGAAAATTTGTAAGAAGCAGAATTAATACAAATGGGGTTAAGATTAGCTTAATTGGAGAGAAAATTTGGAGAAATAGATAGAGCCAGAGCTGTCTACATACATATTTCTTAGTTCAGTGATCCAAGATTTGATGACTTTGGATTATGGAAAACTTGGGAGAATTTTGAATTGCATCATGGAAATGAAGACACTTATAAAGAATTCAGGAGAATCTCGAAAAGCGTGGTGGCTAAATTCAGTTTAATGCCACCAGATCCAAAAAAGATTAAAGAAAGAGTCGAGAAAGGACAATTAGGGCAGCAATGACAGAAATATTAATTTTACATTCAAATTTTATTTTAATATTTATAAGATCCCAATAGACAATTTCCCTTCTTAAAAATAATTAACAAAAACATTCTCTTTTGTATTTTTTTTAATTATCTTTGGTTATGTTCTTTGATTCACTTTTATTTTTGATTAGTTAATTTTAATATTCTGACCTTCCTTCATTTTTATGGAATTAATACTATAAGCATTAATAGTCATCAATTAAAATTAGGGTATTGCAATAAATTTTGCTATATAATTACAAATTTATTGGTTTCATAAATTGCTAATCATTGTTTATATATTAATTTTAATTAAGGAGCTTACTAGATTCATTTTTTAATAGCGGATGCAATTAGATATCAAAGTTTACAATCTTATTTAAGCCAAGACATGAGGAATAGACAAAAACTTGTTTACATTGATTTGGGTTATTCAAAAGTCATTACATATTAAAACAATTAGGTTGTAACCTTAATGAGTTTAGATTAAAACCTTTTAAAGAATACTTTATTTAAAGAGTATAATTTATCTGAGAACATTGCATATTTCATTCGATTTGATATTTAAACATACTATATAGACAGGTATTTAAATTCTAAATCCTAATGTCAATAATCTTAATTAAATCAAGTTCTATTGATAACTTGAAAACCAAGGGATTATTTTTAGACTTATATTCAAAGGAATCAAAAACCTTTTTTAAAAGCCATTGAAAAAAAAAAAATTTAGACATAAATTCTAATTTCTATATTTTACTCAAAATACCAAATTTTATCAACTCCAAATTCTACAATTACAATTTATCCAATAGAAGAATTAAATTTAGATATGAAAATAGTATTTCATGATTCAATCAATTTTTTGATTTAAAGAACTTTATCTGATAACCCTAATTTAAAAATTAGAGATTCAAAAGTAAGTCCTAGAAATTACAAAATAACATCAAATCATAGGAATTATAATATTTATATATTATTGCTATCAATAATGATTTTGTCAATCTCATACTATAATGGAAAAAACAATTATTGCAAATATTCCAAAATGTATAATTTTTGAATATTACACATTTTAAATCTCGCTAACATTCTGTGTGCATTCTCCAATTGATAAGGATGGATCTGCACAGATTTAATTCTCATTACAATATTATGATTTATCTAATCCACACTAGCAACTTTTTTTTTTATTTGTTGTGCATTTTTCAACACACCCAATTTATGGAGTTGCAAGATTTTAGCATTCAAATCCTTATTAACATATCTGATTCTAGTCTTAATTTGATGATACCAATCCGCAGAAACAATTAGTTGAACCATTTTAACTACAATTCGGCACACATTTTCCAGTGGTGGCATTAAAAATAGTGCCCAAATTATCTAGACATGCCTAGTCATCAGACAAAGCTATGCAATTTCGAGGATTAGTTGATGTGCATTCTGGCATACAGATGCCTCTAGATTATTATAAACAGTATGTGGAGGAAAAACATAGGTCATAACTATCTATTCCACACAAACAATTATTTTGAAATGAAAGACATTTTTCAAAGCAATTTCCATTTATGGCAGCAAAATCTAAACAATATTAAGATTTATTGCAATTAACTTAATTAACGACGCCACAAGTGCAATTTGACTAAAATTTTTACATGCAAGTTCCTTAATTACAAATGCCATTATCTTCATATGGATCAACACAGCTTTCATTACTTGAACAAGCCTATTTAATTTTCATCCCACATATACAGTTTGACTATTAAAATCTCGAGCATTATTCTAAACATACACCTTCTTATTTAGAAGAACAATATGTTGTAGATGTACATTCTGAATAATATGATGTACCACATACACAGTTATTTTAGAATTGATTACATTCTTAAACACAACTTCCCATAAAAGATTTATAATCTCGGCAATGTTCATTTTAACCACAAAAAGGTGTTGCCGAATGACCACACAAACAATTACTTTATAAATTTATTTGACAATTTTCAATACAAACCCCATTTTAATCTGTTACATTTTGGCAAGTTTAAGTTTTATTACAAACAACCTTATTTGAAGTCCCACAAATACAATTTGATTTTAAATTTTAATTGCAATTTTATAAGCAAACTCCTGTTGGTTAGCTCACATCACTGCAATAAGTAGATGAAGAACATGTGGAAGTTTAGGATGTGCCACATTAACAAGAATTATCAAAATTACTAATACAACTTGGAATTGAAATGCAATTACCAGTAGTAGCAGTCGAATCTTCACAAGTTTATGAATTAGAGCATCCTTATTTAGAGGTGGTTCCACAAATACATGATGATCTAAGACTAACAGTACAATTATCATAACATTAACCAGAATTTGCAGATGCATTTGCGCAATATTTAGAGCTATCACAATTATTATATGAACTTTGTCCACAAGAACAGTTACTTTAAAAGTTTGAAGTACAGATGTCCAAACAATTTCCAGTAGCAGCCATACTATCTTAACACCTTTAAGTTGAGCTACAATGAGATAATGTAGTAGATCCACAAATACAATCACTTGCTGTCATGCCAGAACATTTATTAATACAAATTCCATTTGTTGCATTTGGATCTTTGCAATAAGTACTAGAACTACATGCTTATTTTGTCGAAGTTCCACATGAACAACTAGTTTAATTAATTGTGGAACAATTTTATAGTGCAACACATGAGTCGCTTTAACATTGTTTGGTTGAATCACAATACGCTTTACTTGATGTACCACAAATACATTCAGATACTGTTCCACCAGAACAGGCTTACTTGCAAACTCCAGAAGATGCACTTGGATCTACACAATATGTAGTTGAAGTGCATGTTGATTTTGTAGAACTACCACAGGAACAACTGTTTTAAAATGCTGAATTGCAATTTGGAGTTGAAGTAACACATGAGTCGCTTGAACACTATTTGGTTGAATCACAATAAGCTTTACTTGAAGTACCACAAATACAATCAGACACTGTTCCAATAGAGCAGGCTTACTTGCAAACTCCAGAAGACGCACTTGGATCTACACAATAAGTTGTCGAGGTGCATGTCGATTTTGTAGAACTACCACAGGAACAGCTGGCTTGAAATGCTGAACTGCAATTTGAAGGAGAACTATCACCACATGTATTGTTAGAGCATTGATTTGGAGAAGCACAATAAGTAGAAGTTGAAGTTCCGCAGTAGCAGTTAGTAGATTAGTATTGACTACAACTACCTGCGCATACTCCAGTTGCTGCAGTTGGATCCAAACATTTACGACCTCCGCTACACGAAGACAGAGTTGTAGTTCCACAGACACAATTGGTTTAATTTGCTGAAGTGCAGTCAACTGCAAGAAAAGAACAAGTAGGAGAAGAGGCATAAGGATCGCAATATTCAGCACAATATTTAGATGTTCCACAAAGACAAACTGTAGAGCTTGAATTAGCGCACTAAGTTAAGCAATATCCTTTTGATGCACTAGGATCTTTACAAAATGTAGATGCAGTGCATGTTGTTGGAGTTGAAGTTCCACAAACACAATTTGCTTGAAATGCTGTAGTGCAACTGCTTATACATGCATTACTCTGACATTTTTAAGTTGAACTGCAATATGTTTTTGTTGTTGTTCCACAATAACAATCGGATACTTTTGATACAGAGCAAGCATCTTTACAATTTCCAGAAAATGCACTTGGATTTTCACAATATGTGGATGAACATATTTATTAGTCAGTTCCACAAACACAATTTGATTATCCTGCTGTTGTACAAGTCGGATAACACACATCAGAAGTACAAATTGAACTTCCATTACAATACGTTTTTGTTGATGATCCACAAATGCAGCTACTTACAACTATATTACTACAAGCTGCTACACAATTTCCAGAAGAGGCTGTGATATCTACACAGTAGTCTATATTTGAACATTCAGATATTGTATCTGTTCCACATTTACATACATTTTAAAAATTTGAGCTGCACGGATCCACACCATTTACTTCAAGCAATGTCATTTAGATTAGAACTATCGAGAGACTTAGTTTCTGTTTGAAATTCATTTTATTTTTTTGAATTTTTTAGACTTCTCTCATTCTATTTATAGTCAAAATCTGATGGGGGTAAGAAAAAACACACTTTATATATTTTATTGTTTGAAAAGAGTATTCGATATCAATTATGAACTCAATTAACAAATATCTACGATCTCAACAAACAAAAAATTTTGGCAAAATATTTACAAAAAAAATTTGAAAAATATTCGTTTGTAAGGAGATACACTGTTTTTAAAATTACCAATGTAGCCAAGTGCTATTTAGTTCACAATATATTTAACCTTCATAACCTTTGCTTTTAATTTAAGGTACTCGCTCATTTAAATAGCTACTCAACTTGTAGTCATTGTAGAATGATATTGATAAATATAATAATTCAATACATATTGATTTAAATCCCTGTCCTGTTTAAGCTCATCCAGAGTAATCGGTGATATCAAATTCCATAGTTTTGTGGATGTTTTGTTTTACACTACATTCAATAATCAAAATTATGAGGAGGATTTGAGTCGTTTATTGATATCCTGTAGTTTCCTTTTTCGTAACTGCAATAATTAGGTTTCAAGAAGGAATTATACCTGAAAAATCACATATATTGACGCTGAAGGTTTCTAAAAACAATTTGATAACCATTCAATTCGCTTTATCATTCTAAACATATTGATTAAAGTTTAAAATATACATATCATAGTTAATATATATTGTAAATTAATATTTATAATAAAGCTGTGCTTGAATATATTTACTTTTGAAATCTTCTTACATTTGGACTTGAATTTAAATAATTCTCTTTATCTAAGTACTAAATTTTTCTGTATCAATCATTTTTTTTGGATACATCTAATAAATCATAAGTTAAAATTAACTCCTCATAATATTCATATAGCCAAGGTGATCAAAAAATCTAATCAAGGATATTAATTAATTTTATTTGATTTTTATGGGTTATGAAATTTCAGTTATGGTAACATTTTAATTTTTCTATTGTTATGTTTAGTGTTATAAAATTACGATTTTTTAGATCGAAACCTTAAAGAAGAAGATTAATTTAAATGTTCTCACTTTTGGATGGCGAAGAAGGCTAGCTTTAATATGGAATAAGAGATCTTCTTTGCTTATTATTTTACAATAATAAATCTTCTTTAAATGTGTTTTTTTTGGCATTACTGAATGTTTAAGACTAGTTTTGATGTCATAAGTTCCAGATAGGAAGCAAAAGGTTCGAATTGTTGTTATTTCATCAAATAAAATAATATTTTAATGAAAAATATAACACAATATTATTATTCAGATAATCATTAATGCTAATTGATAATTTGGAAAACCAACTTTGAATTACGTCAAGGATTAATCTAAAGGATTAGTTTAAACTGGTCAGCATTGGAATGCTCAAAATTTGATATAAAACCGAAATTTAAAAGAAAAAGTTTTTTTTTTCAATTTGATTCTATGAGATCAATAGGTTCCATGAACTGCTAATCCAAAAGAGACTTATTATGCATAATGCTTTTGTTGTGAAAAAATGATATCTATTGATTTTCTATAAAACATTTTTTATTTTTAAAGTTATATAATATTACTTGTGTTGAATGTTCTGCAAATCATACATATTTATAGTAAGAAAGTAAATCAATATTAAATTCTTTTCCTCAACAAAATTAATAAACATTTTAAATTTGTACTTAGTGCAATCTATCATTAATTGAAATAGGTATCTTCCCTCAGTTTTTTTCAAAAGAGTTTGGTTGAATTCTGTTGTAAATTTACTTATATTCTATTAATTATGGGTACGTACCAATAAAAAATATCTAAAACCTAACTATCCATTTAAAATGTATAGATGAGCTGTTACTTTTCAATTTGAAATTAGGGAAATAATCTTAACAAAAATTATGAAGCCTTCTTGTGAATGCAGCATCGCTCTTTAGACTTATCTTGGTTGGTGATCACAAATACAAATTCATCCCCTATTAGATGCCAATAATAAAATTTTTCAAGAAAAAAAAACATCATTTTCAAGAACTTACTAGAAAATATTATTATTAATTAGAAATAAAGTATAAAAAAATAGTAATTAAAAAACATACTCTTAATATCTTTATAAACCAAAGTAGTAGACATCATTGAAAAATTATAGAAAAGAAAAAACTGTTATAGTTAAAAATGTCTAATTGAAAAAAAACAATGATAAAATTGGAATTTCAACTGAACTTATTCTTTGTAATTAAAATTGTAAATCTTTTAGTCTGAATTATTCTTAAATAAAAAAATTCAATTTTTCCTAATGTGAAAATATTTAAACAAAAAAATTTCATTAATTTGGTATAGGTAATTTTAGTTTACATTTCGATTTTATAATTCACAATTCAATTCAAAAATGAAAATTTTTAATGAATAAGATTTAGAATCCTTTAGGTTCAAATTAATAATTGTGATAAATTATATTTTATTAATTTAAAATTTTAATTATACAATTCATAGCTCTTCAGCCTCCTCTAAATTTTTATTGAGATAATGTATCCTCAAATTTAACATATTCCAACTTATTTTTTTATTCAAACCTATTTTTGTATAAGAAAGAAAAATCCAAGAGATTTCAAAAAAATTTCTCTCACTTCTAGATAAATTTTTAAATAATATATTCATTTATATTTTAAATTCATTACATAGCAATTTTTGAGAACCCTCTTTTAGCATTGTGTGCTCATTAAGAAGATTAATATACAAGTGTTAATCACTCTGCTTTGAAAAGGAGAGGAAAGCAAGATTCAAGTTCGAAACTCTGGATTGATGATTTTTTGTTTTTTAATTAAATGTATTTAAAATTAACGTTTAATGTAAAATACATAACTAAAAAATATTGGTGAATCAATCAATTAACTTTCAAAAAAGGAAAATTACAAAATTACTTGATTAAATAAGGAGTTATATGAATATTCTAATTTAAAGTACAGATGATCATACAAGACCTAGATTAATAATTTGAACCAAGAGGCTTGTATCAGAAGAACATTTAGAGTAAGGGTATTGCGGTTTTTATTTTGCTTTTGTATTAGCATTTTAGATTGCAGCATATTAAATAAAGATAAGCGTTAAGAACGGTTAGGTAAAGTATTTTGATTGATGTGTTATACAAATAATTGAATTCATTTTTGATAAGGAAATAATGGAGTGATGCTTAGAATAAATTCGGCGATGTGGAAGAAGCTTAGATAGAATAATAACATTATGTCTATTATCATAGTAAATGGCAATTGTGATAATGTCATATACTACGATTTATTATATTTAAAGAGATTTTCATAAATCGAGAGTTGTCAAGGGAGATAACCCCCAATCATAAAAAGAATATTGGAAAACATAGTTGTCAATAAATATATTTGGAGGTGCATTTGGCTTGGAGACATGTGTAAGATCAATGCTATTCAAAATCATTCAGGACTCAGTTTTAATGGAATGCAAAAAATTCTAAAAATAATAATTTATCATTTAGATTTATGTCCATCGTGCAAACATGAATATCATTATAATCTAATATTAAGATACTGTGATTCTATTTGATGAAAATATCTGATCAATAAATAAAAACCTGATGCCAATAATCTAAATAGAACTAATAATTTAAAGAGAAAATTCATGTGTTTTATATTCAAAACAATTTTCTTGAATTTTTTTTATTTTTAGTGTATTTAATAAACATATTTAATATGTTGAATCATTTAACATTGTAGACAGCCATAGGTATTTCGAGGTTCACACTAGACGGGCTGAAGTGTTTGACCATCTCCTTCATTTTAAAGGGGAAAGCGCATATTGGGAATAAAATCACATCATTTATCGATAATCTCGCCAATCTTTTATGAT